TATGACTTTCTGTTTCAGTCAGACACACAACTTATTTTACAATTATTTCACTTATAGATCAGAATAACCACCATAACCATCATAACGGTGACTTAAACCACCATAACCATCATAACAATGAGTAAGGTCTTTTTACCTGCTCTTTTGTAATGTTAACAGACAAAGAGGAAGGTATTTTACCTGCTTTTTGTAAAGTGTCTTGAGATAACACTTGTTATGAGTTGACGCTATACAAAATAAATTGAATTGAATTGAATTGAATAACGGTGACTTAAACCATCATAACCATCTTAACGGTGACTTAAACCACCATAACCATCTTAACGGTGACTTAAACCATCATAACCATCTTAACGGTGACTTAAACCATCATAACCATCATAACCACCATAATCACCATAACCACCATTACCACCATAACCACCATAACCTCCATAACTACCATAACTACCATTACCACCATTACCACCATAACCACCATAACCTTCATAACCACCATTAGCACCATAACCACCATAACCACCATTACCACCATAACCACCATAACCACCATTACCACCATAACCACCATTACCACCATAACCACCATTACCACCATAACCACCATAACCTTACCACCATAACCACCATAACCTTCATAACCACCATAACCACCATAACCACCATAACCACCATTACCACCATAACCACCATAACCACCATTACCACCATAACCACCATAACCACCATTACCACCATAACCACCATAACCACCATTACCACCATAACCACCATAACCACCATTACCACCATTACCACCATAACCACCATAACCTTCATAACCACCATTACCACCATAACCACCATTACCACCATAACCACCATAACCACCATTACCACCATAACCACCATAACCACCATTACCACCATAACCACCATTACCACCATAACCACCATAACCTTCATAACCACCATAACCTTCATAACCACCATAACCACCATAACCTTCATAACCACCATTACCACCATAACCACCATTACCACCATAACCACCATAACCACCATTACCACCATAACCACCATAACCACCATTACCACCATAACCACCATAACCACCATAACCACCATAACCACCATAACCACCATTACCACCATAACCACCATAACCTCCATAACCACCATAACTACCATTACCACCATTACCACCATAACCACCATAACCTTCATAACCACCATTAGCACCATAACCACCATAACCACCATTACCACCATAACCACCATTACCACCATAACCACCATTACCACCATAACCACCATAACCTTCATAACCACCATAACCTTCATAACCACCATAACCACCATAACCTTCATAACCACCATTACCACCATAACCACCATAACCACCATTACCACCATAACCACCATAACCACCATTACCACCATAACCACCATAACCACCATTACCACCATTACCACCATAACCACCATAACCTTCATAACCACCATTACCACCATAACCACCATTACCACCATAACCACCATAACCACCATTACCACCATAACCACCATAACCACCATTACCACCATAACCACCATTACCACCATAACCACCATAACCTTCATAACCACCATAACCTTCATAACCACCATAACCACCATAACCTTCATAACCACCATTACCACCATAACCACCATTACCACCATAACCACCATAACCACCATTACCACCATAACCACCATAACCACCATTACCACCATAACCACCATTACCACCATAACCACCATAACCACCATAACCACCATTACCACCATAACCACCATAACCACCATTACCACCATAACCACCATAACCACCATTACCACCATAACCACCATTACCACCATAACCACCATAACCTTCATAACCACCATAACCTTCATAACCACCATAACCACCATAACCTTCATAACCTTCATAACCACCATAACCACCATAACCACCATTACCACCATAACCTTCATAACCTTCATAACCACCATAACCACCATTACCACCATAACCAAAAGTCTCTGAAGCACGGTCACAGCAGGAATTACATCTGATACTAAAGCATCGGACGAGCTCACTTTTCGGGTTAACTTCTCAAACGGAGCCAAAACACACAAAGTTTTTTTCCAGAAGTGTCCACTGGTGCGCTGTAAGATTGTTGGGGAGCTGCTTCTGCTCGGTGAGAGACTGTAGGATGTAGTACGTGCTATTCCAGCGCGTCTGCACGTCTTGTTGGAGTCTTCTTACGGGCTGGTTGAGCTGCAGCTGAATGTCTTCCAGGCGGGAGTAGGCTAATGCCGAATGCTTAAAATGTCCAACAATTTTACATCCGACTGACACCACGTCAGCTACACTTTGTGCAAAGTTTGCAGTCTGCTCTTCTTTTGTCGTCATCGTTTACGCTGAAATATCTCCACACCACTGACATCTCGCTTCTCTCCGCCTACCCACTCAACTGAAAAGAGGTGCACGCCCGCCGTAAAGTGGTATCAGTGCTGTTGTATCCGCGTAGTTTTACGAGTATCAGTACTTAAAGGTGGCATTGGACCGATGCCGAATACTGGTATTGGGTCATCCATAATCACCATCATAACCACCACAACAGTGACTTTAACCATCATAACATAATAAGTGGTTAATGTATGTTTGGAGGTGAACGTACTCAACTAAAGGAAGTAAATCAGACAGGAAGTAAATCTATTATAAAGAAAAGTGAGACAGACAAACTCTTTGATTCAGCACTTTGGGTTAGAGTCAGCTGCACAGAGTCTCTCTTTGTCTCTTTATGTTCTCCTGTTATGAAGTCTTAAAGTCACACTCACTGCTTCTCCTAAAGTGGAGTTAGTGTGGGAGCTCCGTCACACAACAACAGAGGACTCATTGTGAGGGAAACGCAGTGCTCACACTTTGAGTCGGGGGGCGCTGTTTCCTTCATGAGAGTCAAAAAGAGACCGACACGTGTCTGTGGAGAGGTGTCATCATGTGACAGCTGCGTTTGGAAACATGGAATCAAAAGAGCATAAAAGAGGAAACATGCAACACGTGAGGCAAGAGTGGAAACCTCATTTTCATTTCTGTTTATTTAACTGATAATTGGAGGGATGAGAGTGTCTCATTGTATAATATGGACAAGAGGAACTCGTGGTTACAGAGAGACACAGTGAGTCATGAGCATGTTACCCAGGTGGAAACAACAGAAAGAAAACTGAGTTCATCTCTTTACTAGAGGAGGGCAGGTTGATTCTAAAGACGACTAACCGAGGAGCAGTCGCCTTGTTAGGGTCTGTGTTTGCTGTTCAGACACACAAAGATGTTTAGTCACTTCGCCTCCTTCGTTTGCGGTTCTGGAGATCTGAGGGCTGAGTTAAACCTCGACAGGAGACGGTAACTCCCAGAGCAGAACAGATTGATGGACTGGAAACTGCTGCTGCTGCCGCTGTGGTCAGAGCAGTTTCTGTTGATGTTGTGATGTTTTTGTGTTGCCATGACGTTGGTTAACCGTAGCTGTTGGTGTGTGCTGACTGGCTGCATGCTTCCCCTCAGTGAGAGTGAGACGTGTCAATAAAAAGCTTCAGACTAGAGAACCTGTAAGAAACCTGCACGCTACGATCCGCTCTCTTGTTTACGTTGCTGTTTGATGAGCGGGCACAGGAGGTCAGCAGGAAGTCTGTTCATTGAGCTAACAGGCTGCTAACGAGCCAACAGGTTATTCCCGTTGATTCAGTCGATGTTGATTAAAGAGTTTGTGATTATAAAGAACTTTTTCTATTTTTAACTCTTTGTGAATCTGAAACTCATCCTCTTTATCAGTTTGTTAAAAAAGAGAGAATAAGCCCCTCCCTCATAGCCTCAGGTTTCTATCCATCTGTAAAGACATGCACTTCATATGTTGGACACTAGGGGGCATCATCTGTATTTTAACAGATCCAAGGTCAGCTGTCACATATGTAAGTGGAAACGAGGCGTCAGGGGCACGGTTCAAATTAAGCTAATGAGTAATAGGTGCAAAAACTGCAGTTCCTCGTGTGTCCACTGGAGACTGCCTTCAACTCCCATTAGGCCCCATTTTTAAAACGCTGGTTTTTACAGGTGAATAAATGTGTTCGCAGCCTCGCTCCAGACGTGGTCTTGGTCTACTTAAGTCTTTTCTTTGTTGGTACTTTACAGTATATGTATGTTTTAATAACTCATCTGATTGGATCATGCTTCGCCTTTAAGTTTTAAAACATTTTTGTAATCTTGGCGTGACTGACGGGTGGAACAGGTCCAGTTGTAGCTGTTTGCCTGGAGGCTTAAGCCCCGCCTCTTCGCCTGTTTTGAGATTGACATGTTTGTGGGGCGGCAGTAGCTCAGTTGCTAGGGACTTGGGTTGGGAACTGGAGGGTCGCCGGTTCAAGTCACTTGTCAGGGCACTTCCTGAGTACTGCCGAGGTGCCCTTGAGCAAGCCACTGAACCCACTCTCGCTCTCTCTCTCACTCTCCCCCTCTCTCTCTCTCTCCCCCCCCTCTCTCTCTCTGCCTCTCTCTCTCTCTCTCTCTCTCTCTCTCTCTCTCCTCTCTCTTCAGGTTTGCTTTGTTTGCTGCACACTTGCGTCTCTGACTGTCAGCTGGGTTTCATCTATGAAGATCGTCAGTGTGTGGGTAAGTCTCCATCTGAGCGGTTCATTAGGACGGCTGCTCCAGAAACGATATGAAACACCTCTTAATGAAGACTTGACCTGACCTTGACATTTTCTCATGTTAAAAGTGAAAATAAAAAATGTAAACATGAAACCTTCTGAACATATTCACTAAATGACAAAACAGAAACCAGGAGGAGTGACGGTCCGATCACCTGGCGTTCTTTAGACGGAGTGCAGGAAACTTCAACTATATTCATACATATATATATTTATACTATATATACATTATTACTACAAATATCCATGAGGTCAGCACCACATAGAAGTCTGTAAATGTGTCATGTTGTTGTGTTTGACCTTTGACCTGCAGATGAGAACGAGTGCTCAGAAAACACAGATCAATGTGGGAAACACACAAAGTGTTTCAACACTCTGGGAAGCTTCTACTGTCAGTGTTTGGAGGGATACAAGAACACGGGACTCAGCGGGCAGTGCCAAGGTCAGTTTGTGTATCACATGTGTGTGTGTGTTACAGGTGTGTGTGTGTGTAACAGGTGTGTGTGTGTGTGTATGTTACAGGTGTGTGTGTGTGTGTAACTGGTGTGTGTGTGTGTGTTACAGGTGTGTGTGTGTGTGTATGTTTCAGGTGTGTGTGTGTGTGTATGTGTGTGTGTAACAGGTGTGTTACAGGTGTGTGTGTGTGTGTGTGTGTGTGTGTGTGTGTTACAGGTGTGTTACAGGTGTGTGTGTGTGTGTGTGTTACAGGTGTGTGTGTGTGTGTGTGTGTGTGTGTGTGTGTGTGTGTGTGTGTGTTTGTGTGTGTGTTACAGGTGTGTGTGTGTGTTACAGGTGTGTGTGTGTGTGTGTGTGTGTGTGTGTGTGTGAGTGTGTGTTACAGGTGTGTCTCTATGGACACACTGCACTCATCTTGTCTTTTTCCTTTGTCAGATATCAACGAGTGCCTCGATACTAACAAATGTGGTCCAGGTGCGTACTGCAGGAACACGATTGGGGGCTACAACTGCACCTGCCGTCCTGGTTACAGCAGATACTCGAGCAGCGCTGGAAGCTGCGTGGGTGAGTCGTGTTTATGTTTGCCGATTTTAACTGTCGGGCTGAGATCAGGAAACACACCTCCACCGTCCTTCAGGCAGGTGTGTCTGTGCTCGTTACATCAGTGATGCTCTCTGGCATTAAAGGAGGAGGCAGTAGAAATGTTTGTAAACATTCAAACTGGCTCATCTCCCCCAGAAGCCCCCTGCAGGACGTAGTGTGAACATTTACTGCTTGTACCTACACTGCAAGCTAATGCACGCTAGTACAATGCATGCTAGCAGCAGCTCCTCTGGACCAATGGGCAAGAGGCAAACTTTAGAAACATCCTAGAGCTCACAGCTTCCTCCAATGAAAAGCTGCCTGTCAAGCTGTCAATGATTATCATTCTAAACTCTGAATACAAACTCAGAACAATCAGCTGCTCCCCGCTGCTTTAAAAGTGACTTTCTGGACCTTTTTATTGACAGGACACCTGAAGAGAGAAACATGTTGTGGGGAGAGAGAGTGGGTTGACATGCAGCAAAGGGCCAAGCTTGGATTTAAACCCGTGCCCACTGCTCGGACTCCTTTAGCCTACATGGGGTGTGCAACATAACTGCTAGTCTATCACTGCCCCTGCTTCCCCCTTCTTGAAATTTTAGCTAATTTCTCAAACTGAACAACCGTCTTACGTCATTCGCTGACATCTGGTTCATTGTCGGTCCGTCTTGTTAAATCGATGTGATCATCGATGTGATCTTCTTTTCTTTCTCTCAGATATTAACGAGTGCAATGAAACTGAGAGGAGAGGAGAAATCATCTGTGGAGCAGAGGGGACCTGCAAGAACACCGAGGGGAGCTTCTGGTGCAAGTGTCCCAAAGGATTCACCAACTATAACAACGAGAGGACGCCGTGCTCAGGTGAGGGTCTGCAGCTCAGGTGAGGGTCTGCAGCTCAGGTGAGGGTCTGCAGCTACGGTGAGGGTCTGCTGTTCAGGTTAGGGTCTGCAACTCAGGTGAGGGTCTGCAGCTCAGGTGAGGGTCTGCAGCTCAGGTGAGGGTCTGCTGTTCAGGTGAGGGTCTGCAGCTACGGTGAGGGTCTGCTGTTCAGGTTAGGGTCTGCAACTCAGGTGAGGGTCTGCAGCTCAGGTGAGGGTCTGCAGCTCAGGTGAGGGTCTGCTGTTCAGGTGAGGGTCTGCAGCTACGGTGAGGGTCTGCTGTTCAGGTTAGGGTCTGCAACTCAGGTGAGGGTCTGCTGTTCAGGTTAGGGTCTGCAACTCAGGTGAGGGTCTGCAACTCAGGTGAGGGTCTGCAGCTCAGGTGAGGGTCTGCTGTTTAGGTGAGGGTCTTAATGGCGTGCATGAAACCGCTCTGAAGCTGGAGCTTCATGGTCCAGTTCTGTTTCCTCTCTACTTTGAGACTCGCTCTGACTTTAATCTACTTCCTGTTCAGACTCCACGCCATACATAGATGTGAGGTGTGTTTGATATTCACATGTTCTCACGGTCTCTGTCTCATTTAGAGCTGGACTGTGACACCTTCAGTCCCGACAGTACGACCTCACACGCTCAGGTAAACTCTTCACACCTGTTCCTTAATGTACTGGGTCAAGCCTTGTACAGTTCATCATGTTTGACTTTTAGAGAGAGAGAGCTGAACAGTTATTCTCTGTCTCTCAGTCGCTCGGAGGCCTGGCTGACATTTTGTCCATGATGAGGAACAGCTGTTTGGCTCTTTCCAACTCGACTACTGCGAGTGGAGGGAAGGCTGACGGAGAGGAGCTGCTGCAGGTCCAGGCACACACACACACACACACACACACACACACATCGGGGTCTTCATTTCCTGCCTCCTGTTTCTGCCACTCTTACAGAAACTCTTCACAGCGACTGACGCCATCTTGTCTCCTCATCACCTGGACAGCAGCGAGGCCGTGAGTGGGCTGCTCGACGCGGTGGAGAACTCCGTCAGGGTCATCGGTCCACAGCTCAAAGGAAACCACACTAAGATAGAGACCAGCATGACAGGTGACCGAGTGCAGAGCTCAGTCTGCATTCTGTACTTTCATAAGTTCAAGTGTTAAATGGGAAATATCTGTCCAAATAGAGGTGGAGGTCGCGGTGCAAAGAGGACAGACTCCACCCACGGGATCCATCCATCTGACCAATGAGAACACTCGTCTAGACACTGACTGGATGACAGCAGCAGGGACAGGATCGTACCCTGGTACATCTCTTTATCGTCTCATTTCTTCTCTTTGACAAGCGTTCCTCTACATCCTTTGACTTCATGCCTCGTCCTTCTCCTCTTCTTTTACAGGTTACGCTATGGCGGCGCTGTTGACCTATAAGAACCTTGAGAAGACCATAAACGGGTCCTTTGAGAAGCTCTCAGGATATGAAAAAGACGGTGTGGATCCCTCCTTTCAGATCTTCTCCAGAGTCGTCTCAGTTGTTGTGTCTAACCCCGACCCCCAGAATCTGAGCAGCCCAGTCAACATCACCCTGAGACATCTGGTAGCCCCCCCTTCCCTCCGTGTCTCAGATCAACGTTAGCATGACTCGACGATAGAGCCTTTCATGATAACGCTTTGGTTCTTTGTGCAGGACACAGAAAAGTCTCCTGATGTCAGCTTCATCTGTGCGTTCTGGACTGAGGGAGGAGCCTGGTCCACACATGGTTGCTATCAGCAGCAGTCGAACAGCACACACACAGTGTGTTCATGTGAACATCTGAGCAGCTTCGCGGTGCTAATGGCACGCTATGATATGAAGGTAAGAACATGAACCTGTCGTTACGCAGCAGGTCCCGCTAGTAAGATAAGCTAGCCTACCAGTCGTTATGCAGCAGGTCCCGTTAGCATGATAAGCTAGCCTACCAGTCGTTACGCAGCAGGTCCCGTTAGCATGATAAGCTAGCCTACCTGTCGCTATGCAGCAGGTCCCGTTAGCAAGATAAGCTAGGCTACCTGTCGTTACGCAGCAGGTCCCGTTAGCATGATAAGCTAGCCTACCTGTCGTTACGCAGCAGGTCCCGTTAGCAAGATAAGCTAGCCTACCTGTCGTTACGCAGCAGGTCCCGTTAGCATGATAAGCTAGGCTACCTGTCGTTACGCAGCAGGTCCTGTTAGCATGATAAGCTAGCCTACCAGTCGTTACGCAGCAGGTCCCGTTAGCATGATAAGCTAGCCTACCTGTCGTTACGCAGCAGGTCCCGTTAGCAAGATAAGCTAGGCTACCTGTCGTTACGCAGCAGGTCCTGTTAGCATGATAAGCTAGCCTACCAGTCGTTACGCAGCAGGTCCCGTTAGCAAGATAAGCTAGCCTACCTGCCGGATGTTAGAGACTGGCTTAGACAGAGAGAAAATGTCGAGGTCAGGTCAAGTCTTCATTAAGAGGTGTTTCATATCGTTTCTGGAGCAGCCGTCCTAATGAACCGCTCAGATGGAGACTTACCCACACACTGACGACCTTCATAGATGAAACCCAGCTGACAGTCAGAGACGCAAGTGTGCAGCAAACAAAGCAAACCTGAAGAGAGAGGAGAGAGAGAGAGAGAGAGAGAGAGAGGGGGAGAGAGAGGAGAGAGAGAGAGGAGAGAAAGGGAGAGAGAGAGAGGAGAGAGAGGGAGAGAGAGAGAGAGAGAGGAGAGAGAGAGAAAGAGAGGAGAGAGAGAGAGGATAGAGAGAGAGAGAGAGAGAGAGAGAGGGAGAGGAGAGAGAGAGAGGAGAGAGAGAGAGAGCGAGAGACAGAGGAGAGAGAGAGAGGAGAGAGAGAGAGGGCGAGCCCTGAGGAGTGAAACTAGTGGACCTCCTGTTTTACTGAGGAATTATTACAAATAAAGACTTTAATCATTCTGTTACGTTGGCCTTCACATGATGAATATGTCTGTAAACGTCTTCCTCTCTTCTTCACATGTCAGTACACAGATTAAACCTCCTGATGTGTCTCCTCCTCACAGCACACCTTCGGGCTCCTCCTGATCACTAAGGTGGGACTGACCGTGTCCCTGCTGAGTCTCCTCCTCTGCATCCTCACCTTCAAGTTCTGCCGCTCCATACAAGGGACTCGAACCACCATCCACCTGCACCTGTGTGTCTGCCTCTTCATGGCCGACCTCGTCTTTCTGGCGGGCATCTCACAAACCAAACCTGAGGTATGACTGTGGTTACTTTAATGGGAAAGTTATTTACATGGGTGTTCCTGTTTGCACTCCGCAAAGGAGAGCATAGTTAATAAGAGAAGGTTACACATTGACGTCAGAGCGTTTCTGTAACCTCTGTACCACTTCCTGCCACGTGGTGAAGGTGAAGACACAGGCGGTTATTGTGAGGCAAACAAAGACCACAAGTAAACATTTTCAGACCCAGAAGAAGAAGAAGGAGGATTAGAACAATGTGACCTCATTGGGTGTTTGTTTGGACTTCCTGGTTGTGAATGAACCCCAGATGTTGTACCCGGGTCTTAACCACTGATGGAAAGAGGTTCTGCTTTGGGGAACTTTGGCTTCATTTCAATATTTCAGTCATCACAATGTGTATTTTAATATATTCACTGAATGAACCAATGAGAGGTAAAGAACATCGAATAAGAAGCAGACGATATAATCCTCTCAGCACCTCGTTGTAAATGTTCCTGAATATGAGCGGCTGTGTTCACGCAGGCGGCTGGCAGGAGGCATTCTGGGTAAAGTCTGGGTGGAAAAATCCTCCATTTGATCTCACACATCACCCCCCAGTGTTTCAGGATTTTAGTGTAACTTTTCTAACATGACTAAAGGATGAAAGGTGAAAGGATACAGACAGTCTCACATTATAAATACCTAGGAATCCTAATGCACTCGCAACTGTCTTTAAAGAAACGTGAAACAACTGTGTAACACTATAAAATTTAACCTAAGGAACTTCAGGTTTATCCGAAACCAGTTACCCATTAATGCAGCAAAGCTATATGTGCGCTCAATGATTTTCTCACACGTCATATTGTATCACAAGCTGGTCGCAAGCAGGTAAAACAACACTCGCCCCTCTCCAAACCCTGTACTGTAACATCATTCAGAGGTATAACCTCCTAACCTTTGACAATGTTGTGGTTCTTGCTGATGCTTGTCTAGTGTATAAAGTTATTAATTATTAGTTCATATCACCGCGTGCGGATGGAGGAAGAACAACTAGGAGTGCCAACAGAAGGGATTGTGTTATACAGCACAGATCCTCTGAGTTTGGCAAATCAGCCGTTTCTATTAGAGCTACACATTTTTGGAACTCCATACCGGCTAAAATCAGAGAGTGCCATAGCTTTGCTGAATTTAAATTTAAAATCAAATCATGGCTCAAATCAACTCAATCGTGTCCTCATCACACATAAACACTTTTTCATGAACTATGTTTGATAATGTTGTAGCGTATTGATACAGTATATTATTATGGCTTTGTTGTTGTGGTGCATTGGAGATATACAGTATGTTGCCGTATAGCTGTGGTTTTTTTTGTGTATTTTTTTAAGTTAAGTGCTCTTAGCCTATTATTGTTTTAATATAATGTATGAATTTCACTGTGGACTAGTGTAATGCCATTGTTCAGTGGTTGTGTACTGTCTTACTGTTGTGAAGATGTTAGTGTATGTTTTATTTCTTCACAGAGACGTTGTCTCTGTCTCCTGCCCAGGGACTACAGATGTAGCTTATAGCTAACTCTGGTACAGTTAATTGGCTGTACACTGTCCCTGTCAAAAATAAACAAATAAATAAATAAGAATAAATAAAGTTTGACTCTCGGGTGTTTCTGAAGACGTTTCATATTGAACGCGTTGTCTTGTCCTGACCTCAGCTTGACTCTTTCTTCTCGCGGTCGTTTAATTTGCAGGGTGGCTGCAGGTTGGTTGCAGCCATGCTTCATTTCTTCTTCCTGGGAGTGTTTACCTGGATGCTGTTAGAGGGGGTGCAGCTGTACCGTATGGTGGTCCTGGTGTTCAACGCCACCATCCGGCCCCTCTACTTATTCATGGCTGGTTACGGGGCCCCTCTGGTGATCCTCATCCTGTCAGCCATCATTCGGCCTGCGGGATACGGCACTGACCAGCAGTGAGTGTTTACTACATTACTCCTCAGAGCTGCTGTTATGTGATCATGACCATGTGTTTCCTTCTTGCTAACAGCTGCTGGCTGTCTCTGAGTGACGGCCTCATCTGGAGCTTCTTCGGCCCCGTGTGCCTCATCATCATCCTCAACATCTTCTTCTTCATCATCACCGTCTGGAAGCTCGCTCAGAAGTTCTCCAGCCTCAACCCTGACCTCTCCAAGCTGCACAAAGTCAGGTCAGTCCATGTGTGCTTGATGTTCATGTGATGTAGTAATACTGGAGTGACCCTGGGCCGACCTTCAAACAAACACTCAGCTGGAACACATGTTGGCCAGACGGCGCTCGCTTCAGGAGAAAAGCATGGATGGAAAGAACGAGAGAAGAATGTGCAGAATGTTTTCATAGTCGCCACACTGATTTCTAATGATGGGAATTTTTGCCCAACTTCTTTTTCTTACTGCCGCCCATGCTTTAATAGTTTAAACTGTATAAACATGTCAGACAAGTTTGAGCTGGAATGAAAACAATCCATCTATGATCCAGCGATCACCATCAGTGACCTTCAGTTAGTCCTGGGAAGGCTCAAACTAAGGGAGCAGATTTCAAATAATCAAATAATCAAAAGGTTTCAGTCAGTGATCGTGTCCCGTTCTCACCCGGGGCAGTCCTCCTGATGTGATCTAGATATGAACAGCTTCTGAGTCTGAAGATCCCTATTCCATCGTTCTGATCTCATAACGTTTTAAATCTCTTCTTTATCTCAGCGTGTATCATGATTAGAGTTGTTCATGGGAAAAGAAATAAACAACCTAAGAGGTCAAAGATGAGAACATTTCCTGAGAGCGGTTTTTAAAACAGTGTGTCTTTTATTAACCACTTCTTCACCATCAATAGACAAAAATGAGTTCATAAAGCGTCAGACTCTAAGAGTCCCTGCTCCTCATCAGACATTAAGAATCCCTGCTCCTCATCAGACTCTAAGAGTCCATGCTCCTCTCAGAGTCTAAGACTCCCTGCTCCTCATCAGACTCTCAGAGTCCCTGCTCCTCATCAGACTCTAAGAGTCCCTGCTCCTCTAAGAGTCTAAGAGTCCCTGCTCCTCTTCAGACTCTAAGAGTCCCTGCTCCTCTAAGAGTCTAAGAGTCCCTGCTCCTCATCAGACTCTAAGAGTCCCTGCTCCTCTAAGAGTCTAAGAGTCCCTGCTCCTCATCAGACTCTAAGAGTCCCTGCTCCTCTAAGAGTCTGAGTCCCTGCTCCTCATCAGACTCTAAGAGTCCCTGCTCCTCTAAGAGTCCCTGCTCCTCTTCAGACTCTAAGAGTCCCTGGTCCTCTAAGAGTCCCTGGTCCTCTAAGAGTCCCTGCTCCTCTAAGAGTCCCTGCTCCTCTAAGACACCTTGCTCCTCTAAGAGTCCCTGCTCCTCTATGAGTCTAAGAGTCCCTGTTTCTCTTCAGACTGTAAGAGTCCCTGCTCCTCTAAGAGTCCATGCTCCTCTTCAGACTCTAAGAGTCCATGCTCCTCTAAGAGTCCATGCTCCTCTTCAGACTCTAAGAGTCCCTGCTCCTCTAAGAGTCTAAGAGTCCCTGCTCCTCTAAGAGTCTAAGAGTCCCTGCTCCTCTAAGAGTCCATGCTCCTCTTCAGACTCTAAGAGTCCCTGCTCCTCTAAGAGTCTAAGAGTCCCTGCTCCTCTAAGAGTCTAAGAGTCCCTGCTCCTCTAAGAGTCCATGCTCCTCTTCAGACTCTAAGAGTCCCTGCTCCTCTAAGAGTCTAAGAGTCCCTGCTCCTCTAAGAGTCCCTGCTCCTCTAAGAGTCTAAGAGTGCCTGTTCCGGGCGCGTTCCATGTATTGAGACTCTCGTCTCGAGCGGTAGGCCCGGGTTCGCTTCCACCCCTGGCCCCTTTCTGCATGTCATTCCCAGCTCTCTCTCCCTGGTTTCCGACTCTATCCACTGTCCTCTCTCTGAATTAAAGGCACGAAAAAGCCCAAAATAAATCTTTAAAAAAAAAAAAAAAAAGAGTGCCTGTTCCTCTAAGAGTCTAAGAGTCCCTGTTCCTCTAAGAGTCCCTGCTCCTCTAAGAGTCTAAGAGTCCCTGTTCCTCTAAGAGTCCCTGCTCCTCTAAGAGTCTAAGAGTCCCTGCTCCTCTAAGAGTCTAAGAGTCCCTGTTCCTCTAAGAGTCCCTGTTCCTCTAAGAGTCCCTGCTCCTCTAAGAGTCTAAGAGTCCCTGTTCCTCTAAGAGTCACTGCTCCTCTAAGAGTCTAAGAGTCCCTGTTCCTCTAAGAGTCCCTGCTCCTCTAAGAGTCTAAGAGTCCCTGTTCCTCTAAGAGTCTAAGAGTCCCTGCTCCTCTAAGAGTCTAAGAGTCCCTGTTCCTCTAAGAGTCCCTGTTCCTCTAAGAGTCCCTGCTCCTCTAAGAGTCTAAGAGTCCCTGTTCCTCTAAGAGTCCCTGCTCCTCTAAGAGTCCCCGCTCCTCTAAGAGTCCCCGCTCCTCTAAGAGTCTAAGAGTCCCTGTTCCTCTAAGAGTCCCCGCTCCTCTAAGAGTCTAAGAGTCCCTGTTCCTCTAAGAGTCCCTGCTCCTCTAAGAGTCTAAGAGTCCCTGTTCCTCTAAGAGTCCCTGCCCCTCTAAGAGTCTAAGAGTCCCTGTTCCTCTAAGAGTCCCTGCTCCTCTAAGAGTCTAAGAGTCCCTGCTCCTCGTCTGAGTCTGCTCTGGTAACTGAGTCATCGTCTGAGGCACTTGTTAATCTCTCCTTACATTCTCTATCTGTTGCCCTTTCTCTGACCACTACCCCCCCTCCTCCCGTCCTCCCCCCCCCCCCCCGGTCCTCCCCTTCCCTCTGCAGAGCATTCACAGTGACCGCGATCGCCCAGATGTGCATACTGGGTCTGATGTGGGTCTTCGGGGCCTTCCTGTTTGAAGAGGGCCCCATAGTGGTAGCTTATGTCTTCACTATCCTGAACAGCCTGCAGGGGGCGCTGGTCTTCATTATGCATTGTCTGCTGTCTAAACAGGTAAGATAGAAACAGGTGTGTGTGTGTTCCTGAGTCATCACAGTGGATTGCATTACAAAATATTTATTCTTGATGTTTGCTGCCCTCTGCAGGTGAGAGAGGAGTACGCCCATTTCCTGTCCTGTATCTGCACATCACAGAAGAAGAGATACTCAGACTTCAGCAGTACAAATCCGTCCAGTAGTCAGTCACAGGTGAGCAGAAAGTCACCTGACTCTCAGCTTTAATAATGATCCAATGATTAGTGGAGGTTGATGTAAATGCATCAGTTAGTTTAAGGTGAGTTATGTTTACTCCATTACTTATTTTTAAGTCTCCATGAAATGAAACATGTTCCTCGTTTTTTATTTATTTATTTATTTTTTTTTAACATTCTTTATTCAAACAGTTATTGTATTCAATATTTTACACATTTATATTTACATATCTCAGTTGGTGAAACATGGTAATAATTTTACAAGAATTATTTACAGTTTGGCAAACATATAAAAAAATAAAATAAAACACAAATAAAAACTCATGGCAACATCTTCATCCGCACAAAGAGGAGACTCTTGACAAGTAGAGGGAAAAAATTGCTTCTTCAAAGCAGGCATCAGCTATATCTGTCCATACACACACAAGCAATTGTTAACCTTTCACATACATCTCTATAAATATGTCTACTGACAAGTCCCAAATAAACCAGACGAAATATACATAATGTTTTCTTTTAAATAAATTGAGATTATGTAAACTGGTCTCTTACTCTATCGGTAAATTAAGGTAAGCAATGACAGGAGCCCATAGAACCACAAACAAATCCATTTTCAGATGGAGTTTCGCTGTTATTTTCTCCATCAAGTAAACCCTCTCTAGCCTTTCTCTCCATTGGAGAAGGGTGGGAGGTAGAGGTCTAAGCCAGGATATGGTTATCATTTTCCTCGCCCCCAGAAGAAGGATGTGTAGTCACCGGGCCTTTCCTTTATCCATCACTCCCTCCGGTATTAAACCTATGATGAAATATGACGCTGTAAGCGGTAAATCTACTCCTAGGATGGTTCGTATTTCTGCTTGAATCCCTTCCCTAAATGATTTCAGTTTGGGACAGTCCCAAAAGATGTGAGTATGATCTCCCACCTGTTTACAGTTCCTCCAGCATAAATTTGTCTTACTTCTGTCATATTTTGATATTATAAACGGTGTCTTGAAGTATCCCATTCTTAATTTCCAACTGAATTCTTTCCAAGTTGGACCGTTAGTTATCTTATGCCCCACTTCACACACATACCTCCCACTCCCACACCTTTCTTTCACATCAACAGAATTTCCTGAGCATGGTGCCTGTAAATATCTGTACATATATGAAACTATTTTCTTAGTATTCTTTTCTTCCATGTTCCTCATCAGGAAGTCCTCTATTGGTGTGGGCAGTTGTTTAAGGGAGCTCCATTGTGTGACATTAAATAGTTCCTTAGTTGTAAATATCAATAAAAATCCTTGGGGGACAAACTAAATTTATCCTGTAATTGCTTAAATGACTTTAGGGTTTCACCTTCAAATAACTGGTTTATGATCACAAGGCCTTTTTCTGCCCAAGTGTTGAACCTTGTATCTAATTTATTTGGCTTTTTTGTTTTACGTTTTTTGTGATTTTGACCGCTCTAGATATTGTTAACGGCGCGCCTATCATTTTCCTAACTTGAAATCAGACCTTTTGAGTACAATTCATCCATTCATTTTTTATCTTAAGTTTCTTCCATTTCATTTGTTCTAAGAATGGTATTGTCTCAAGAGGTACCCGTGGGCATGCATGTTTTTCTAGTTCAAGCCATTTTGTCTCCTCGTCTTGTATTACCCATTCGACCATCCCACGAAGTTGTGCCGCCCAGTAGTATAATTTCAAATTCGGTAAATTAAGACCTCCTTGTTTTTTAGGGTAATGTAACAACTTCTGTCGAATCCTAGGTCTCTTCCTTTGCCAGATAAATGTAGAAATCATTTTATCTAATGTTTTAAAGGTAGAGCCTGAAATCCATATAGGCAAAGACTGGAAGAGGTACAACAGTCGAGGAAGTACATTCATTCTGACTGTTTCAATTCTTCCAATAAGTGAGAGCGGGAGAATCTCCCACCTAGCCAAGTCTAACCTTATCTGAGCAATCAGTCTACCATAATTAGCTTTAAATAATTCTGAGGTATCTGGAGTAATCATTATGCCTAAGTATCTAAAGCCTTGTGCTGATCAGTTAAATGTAACTTTTTTGTCCAGTTGAGAAGGCCACCTGCCAACAAGCATCATAGCTTCTGATTTAGTTTCATTAATTTTGTAACCGGATACTTCCCCGAATTCATGTAAGCTATCTAAAAGGGCTGGGATAGAGCACAGGGGGTTATCAATATATAAAATAACATCGTCAGCATACAGCAAAATTTTATGTGTCCCTCCGCCATCTGATATTCCTATTATCTTGGGGTTCTCCCTTATCATTTCAACTAAAGGCTCTATACTGATAGCAAATAACAGAGGAGAAAGGGGACAGCCCTGTCTAGTTCCTCTATTCAGATTAAAGCTCCCTGATGTATGTCCATTCACCCTAACTCTTGAAGTGTTCCCCGTATGTTCCTCGTTTTAATCCAAGATTTATTTTACTGTCACCTCCATGAAAAAACTCTGAGCATACAAGGGAGAGAAACGCTGTCCTGGTCCAATCAGAGGGAGACAGAAACATCAATAAAAGGAGAACAGGATGCATGAGAGAGAGAGAGAGAGAGAGAGAGAGAGAGAGAGGACACTAGACAGTTAAAAACACAGACCTGTTAAATAGAGTGAGGAAGAGTAGATTATAAAACACAGAATAATAATTATAATGAAATATAAAGAAAGTGCTGAAGGAGTCCAGCATTCAACATTCTTTGATCTGACAAATATATTGAAGGAAATTTTCTTCTGAGTATTTCTACATAGAACATTATCTTCCAGATTTCCTCTTCAAATGTCGGCTGACTCGTCCTGCAATCAGCAGCGAATACTTGCTTTTTTTGGACTAATTAAAAAGCTTTGTGGAACGTGATGTCCCGCCTTCTCTCTTGTGTGGGCTCTCTCCTGTTTCAGTTAGAAACAGCCGTTAGAGACTCTCTCAGTCCGGTTTCATGGAGACTTGAATGATGTTGAATTGATCTTCATATCTTTCATATGTTTAAGACTTGTGTGGAGGTTCCAGTCTAAAAACCTCCTGCAGGGTCTGAGACCAGAACAAAGAAAATACTCATCATTGTCTGAGTGTCCTTTAACAGTGTACTCTGAAAGAACATGATTTAGTGTGACTGTGATTCTATTAGAAAGTCAGTAGAGCCCTTCAAACTCTACCATACAGCACTCTGTCTAATACCTGTCTTCTTCTTCTTGTAGGCTTCTGGCAGTGGGCAGCACACAGGAGAGTCCCAAATCTGAAGCTCTTCTCCCCACCGAAGAGCCCTTTAACCTTCCTGGGCTCAGTTAGCCTCCATCTTTAAATTCATGTCCCTTCAGAGGGAAAGACAAGAAATCAGTTTAAAGTTTTGTTGTCACTTTAAAGCTACAAATGAAATTAAGAATGTTTGACAGCTCAAAAACCATGAAGCTAAATCCTCCAAAGTTGTCGACGATTGAGGTGCTTGATGGGAAACAGTTCGTTAAATGTGTTTCTCACTGATAGAGTCCTGAAGGGTTAATACACCTCTTGAAGTAAAATAACTTTATGGGTTATGGGCGCAGACAACAAGTCGCACACGTCTCATAGCACCTCGTCAAGTGAAATATTTCATGTTTGTTTTTGGTTCATTCAAATCATATCTGTGTCTGATCAGACTTAAAGCTGTTTATTTGCACTTCCTATCTGCACCTGTGCTCTGCCTCTGGTCACTTCCTGTCAGCACCTGTGCTCTGCCTCTGGTCACTTCCTGTCAGCAGCTCTGGTCACTTCCTGTCAGCACCTGTGCGCTGCCTCTGGTCACTTCCTGTCAGCACCTGTGCTCTGTCTCTGTTCACTTCCTGTCAGCACCTGTGCTCTGCCTCTGGTCACTTCCTGACAGTACCTGTGCTCTGTCTCTGGTCACTTCCTGTCAGTACCTGTGTGTCTGCTCGGACAGTTTGTTTGCACTTCCTGATGTTTTTTCTTCCTCTCTCTCTACTTGTTTGTTTTTTACTCTCAGATGTTCGTCTCTTTGGATAAAAGCGTCTGATAAATGAATTGTAGAATATCACAATCCTCATATAAGCTGTATTAGAGAGATCCAAAGTGATACTCGTATAGATTATTTATTTTTCACAAGGACTTCAATGTGTACATAATGTGGGAGACAGTCTGTGCTGTATTAAAGATAACAGTGGATGTTTTCTGTTATCAGTTAAAGAGACAACGACTTCAGTGTTCCTCATGTTACCGTCATGCCGTCAATGCCATATCATGTTGTTACCGTCATCTAGTGTCAGGTCGTGTCATGGCGTTACGTCTTGTCATGGCGTTACCATCATGTCATTTCTTCTGTTTAAACAAAAGACCAATCAGGTGTAGATGTTTTTTAAATCTGATATCTGACTCATATTTATAGAGATGCATTTTGATGACATTATCAGAAAGAAAACAGATCCCGCCCAACAAACAAACACAGAGCCTCCCTTCAGATAAACATACAGCTTCCTGCTTTCAAACTCTGTTTATGGAATCTATTTAAGCCTCGACAAACACCTAGTGCTCAGGGATATAAAGCATGAAATCACACGGGAGTTTAGAACATTAGTTTGTTTTTTACCGTAAAACTTCTAATAGAAGCATAATGTTAGACCCGGTCCCTTTACAGGCCTGGTGTTTCTGAAGGTTCTGACTCATGAAGATGTATTTAGTGATGGATAGTTTGCAGATCAAAAAAGACTGAAGGAAATAAAAACCTGTGCTATTCAAAGACGTTTTACAGTAATTTTCACTTTTAGTTAATTAAAATGAGAATCCAGCACATCGTCCCACAGGATTATCTTAAAGAGGGGAACAGTTCCCTGGTATGTTGTTTTATTTGACAGAGAATTTAAGGAGGTGCACTGAAGGTTTATCTTGTAATGTTTGAATGATTAACACCACTTCTGTGTTTGTTTATTGAATCAGCTGTTCTGTACAAGGCAGACTTTCTGTGACAACAAACAACTTCTAATGATACATTTAAAAATGTGTTGAATGTGACAAAGCTCAGTGCAGTGTGTAGCTCTGTGTGAATGTTAGAGAGCTCTGTGTGAATGTTAGAGAGCTCTGTGTGAATGTTAGAGAGAGCTCTGTGTGAATGTTAGAGAGCTCTGTGTGAATGTTAGAGAGAGTTCTGTGTGAATGTTAGAGAGAGTTCTGTGTGAATGTTAGAGAGCTCTGTGTGAATGTTAGAGAGCTCTGTGTGAATGTTAGAGAGCTCTGTGTGAATGTTAGAGAGCTCTGTGTGCATGTTAGAGAGCTCTGTGTAAATGTTAGAGAGCTCAGTGTGAATGTTAGAGAGCTCTGTGTGAATGTTAGAGAGAGCCAGTGTGAATGTTAGAGAGCTCTGTGTGAATGTTAGAGAGAGCCAGTGTGAATGTTAGAGAGCTCTGTGTAAATGTTAGAGAGCTCTGTGTAAATGTTAGAGAGCTCAGTGTGAATGTTAGAGAGCTCTGTGTGCATGTTGGAGAGCTCTGTGTAAATGTTAGAGAGCTCAGTGTGAATGTTAGAGAGAGCCAGTGCAGTGTGCAGCCTCTAAGTTTAGAACATAATTCAACTTATTTTTCTACTTTCTTTTCATGATGATGTCATGTCTTGATGATGGTACTGTTTCCTTTTTATAAGTGCCACATTTATTTTAATAAAGCTGTTTTTTTTGCTCAAATATCTGTCGTGATCATTTCAGTTTTAACCCCGGCAGACAGACACACACACACACACACACACACACACACTTCTATTTAAATTCTAACCCTAACACTTTTTAAAATACAGTCGAGTTGTGAATCATAAACTTCGTCAGTGAAACGCCACGTCTGTAATCGTCCACCTATCAGCTTCTCTCCTCCCCCGTCATGATCCCGATGTTTCTCATGAAATGATTTGTTAATTTTTCCCTCTAAATCAGACATCAGCTGTAAAAGTCAGACAGTAGGTGACATGTTGTCCTCAAGGCACAATGACTCACTCTCCCCCCTCTAACCAATAGGAGAGCAGAGCTGCTGTGACGCAGAGCTTAATGAGTTTAGACCTGCTCCGTGCTCTTCAGCACTGTCTCTCTCTCTCTCTCTCTCTCTCTCTCTCTCTCTCTCTCTCTCTCTCTCTCTCTCTCTCTCTCTCTCTCTCTCTCTCTCTCTGCCATCAGCTCGCAGACCTGACAGATGCTGCAACACTTTGTTGGTTAAACAGGATTAAAGACGTGAAAGGGTGAGTGTCTACTCAACAAAACTTTAGTCATGTGTTGTTGTTGTGGTTGTTGTTGGTTGTTTTTGTTGTTGTTGTTGTTGTGGTTGTTGTGTTGTTGTGGTTGTTGTTGGTTGTTGTTGTGGTTGTTGTGGTTGTTGTGGTTGTTGTTGTAGTTGTTGTTGTTGTTGTTGTGGTTGTTGTGGTTGTGGTTGTTGTTGGTTGTTGTTGTTGTGGTTGTTGTGGTTGTTGTTGTTGTTGGTTGTTGTTTTGCCTGATACCACTGTTTGTTTCCTCTCCACTCAGAAGATATGAATCTTCTGAGTGGAGGTGTAGTCCTCCTCAGTGTGTGGGGGGCTGCTCAGCTGATCTCTCTCTCCTGGCTCTGCTGTCTCTTAACCGGTCTTGGACTCTGTGTAGCCTGGAGGGGATCCTGGAGGTTCATACGTGTCGCTTTATGCACCTTCAGAAGAGACCTGATGTGAGTAGTTGCTGTAAATCTTTACACAACTGACACTTTTCTTCATCTGCATACACTCCAAGTGTCCCTCCTCCCACCAGGTGTCTGTATGTGATCATGAGAGTGAGGATTCCCATGTTCCGTTATCTGCGTAACAGAAGCACCATCCCTGCCCTGTTTGCACAGACGGTGACAAAGTATCCAGATAAGGCTGCTCTGATCTACGAGGCCACCGGAGAGGTGAGAGCTCATCAAAGATCCAGCAGCTTCGACAGCATGGCAGCCCACAGAGACATCATAATAACAGAGCCAGATGTTCCTCTTTGTTCCAGGTGTGGACCTTCAGGGAGCTCCAGCAGCGATGCCATGCTGTGGCCCACTGGGCGCGTGCACAGGGATGGCTGGAGGGGGATGTGGTGGCCTTGTACATGAAGAGTCAGCCTCAGGTGGTGGCTCTGTGGTTGGGTCTGGCTATGGTGGGTGTGGAGGCTGCACTCATCAACCACAACCTCCGGCAGCAGTCGCTGCTGCACTGTGTCGGCATGTCAAGAGCTCGGGCCATGGTGTTCGGGACGGAGATGAGAGGAGGTAGGAACAGGAATAGATTACTCATTTATGTAGAAGAGATCTTTAACCAGGAAGTAGTTTGATGCTTTTCTAATGAAAACTTGTTTCCTCTTCTTCACACTCAGCTGTGTCAGAGGTTCGAGGCTCTCTGCAGCCCGACATGCTTTTGTTCATCAGCGGAGAGCACGACGATAAAGACGAGCTCTGCAGCCTGGACGGCATGCTGCAGCGCTCGCCAAAACACCCACCAGACTACACTGTGAAGAAGGGATTCAGTGGTAAGACTGTGTGTGTGTGTGTGTGTGTGTGTGTGTGTGTGTGTGTGTGTGTGTGCGTGCGTGTGTGTGGTGTGTGTGTGTGTGTATGTGTGTGTGTATGTGTGTGTGTATATGTGTGTGTGTGTATGGGGGTATCACATGTGTCATATATAAAAATGTTTGTATTGCGACACCATCTTCTCTGCGAGTCTTCACTTGCTGAGTGAACCGATCGCTGCACACACACACACGCACACGCACACACACACACACACACACACACACACACACACACACACACACACACACACACACACATCAGTGTTAGACAAACATATCTAATATCTCAGTTCATCAAACATGTTAGATATGTGTGTGAAGATATTTCTGCCTCTGATATTTGAATGATTAGAATGCATTCTTAACGGGCGTTTTGTTTCAAAGGTTATTATTAGTTTATCTAGTTTGGCTCATCCTCATTGTTTTCACATTTGTTATCACACAGCATTCCTCCGTTCAGTCTCTTCAAGTCTTTGCTTGCAGCCTGTCACAGAGTAACAATGTGTAGGGAGAGACTGAAACATGTTGAGGAATGAGGGGGGGGTCGGGGGGGGGGGGGGAGGACATGAAGGGGAACATCGGCCTCATCTGTCTCTCCCTGTCTTCATGCAGACAGACTTTTCTACATCTACACCTCTGGAACAACAGGAATGCCAAAGGCAGCGATAGTGGTGCACAGCAGGTGAGTGTGACGTGATGATGACAGGATGACCGGAAGTGTCCGGTCATTATGAGGATCACTGAAAACTACAAACTAAGGGGCTGCACCGTAACTGACGTCTAATCACTTCAGCATTTAGAATAAAAACATGGTTAAAGAACACATCAGAGGAAGAAGAGTTCTTTAATAAAGCCGTGGTCAAGACGGATTGAGTCAGGAACCATCACACTCAGCTGTTCACATTTAGAGGCAGAAAAAACTATTCTGATTCCATGTGGAACAGAGATGTGAGGCAGAAACCTCCGCTGTGAAAAATGAAGCGAGGCAGGGATTTGATGAGCTGAGGTTCACTGATGATGGATCTTTGATTTCAGGTACTATCGTATCGCTTCCTTTGGTTTCCATTCGTTTGGATTACATCATGATGACATCATCTACAGCTGCCTGCCCCTGTATCACTCTGCAGGTAACCCCTCACTAAAACACATATTCAAGGTTTTGACTTTGTCCACAGAGGGCGCCAAAATCAACACAAACTACAAGTTACTCCCGGAGTAAAGTGTCTCTGTGTACATGCTCACTCTGAATGTTCACAGGCACCATCATGGCTGTAGGACAGTGTTTACTTTTTGGCGTGACTGCTGTTGTCAGGGCCAAGTTCTCGGCCAGTTGCTTCTGGGACGACTGCGTCAAACACGACTGCACGGTGAGTCCAAACGGCCGCTACGTTCAGAGAATGAAGGGAGCGTCCAACACATCTTTGAATATCTTTCCCCTTTTGTCCGTATGTCTGTGCAGGTCATTCTTTACATAGGAGAGATCTGCCGTTACCTGTTGGCCCAACCTGTCCGTTCATCTGAGGCACATCACAGAGTTCGTGTTGCCATTGGAAACGGCCTGCGTCCTACTGTGTGGGAGGAGTTCGTCCGGAGATTCAGAATCAGGCAAATCGGAGAATTTTACGGTGCCACCGAGTGCAACTGCAGCCTGATAAACATAGACGGAAAGGTTTGTGTTATTTTAAAGGTCCAATCAGTGAGATGTGTAGTGAGTGAAATGATAAAGGTACTTTACTATATGATCAGACATTAAGGAAACATGCTATGTTGAAGTGCTGGCTTCTCTGACAACAATGCAGCAGCCAGTATGTCCTCCTTCTAACTTTAGATTCTGGTCCTGAATGCTCTGGATTTGTTTGGACCAGAGAAGGTAGGCGCTTTTAAGACACCCCCACACGGCCGTTTTGGACGCCCCTCGGTTTGCCAGATATGAGAGCAGTTATCAGGTCAAACCAAGAGAACTGGTTCAGATAGAAGTGATTGTACCCGACCTAAAAATTCTCTGCAACCCTTAAACTGCATCCTGTCTCATGACGATGTCCTCTTTGTCCAGGTGGGGGCGTGTGGTTTTAACAGTCGCATCCTGCCCAGCTTTTACCCCATCAGACTGGTCAGGATGACAGAGGAGAACGGAGAGCTGCTCAGGGATCCACAGGGACTCTGTGTGCCCTGTCAGCCCGGTGCGAACACATGCACATTGATAAGACAATCACACTTTTTTTTCCAGATAATTTTTAAGGACATAAAGGTGTATTTTATTTGGACAAATGTGTTGTTTCTGTCTCTGCAGGTGAGCCAGGTATGTTAGTGGGACGAATTAACCATACTGATCCGCTCCGGAGGTTTGACGGCTACGCTGATCAGGAGTCCACCAGGAAGAAAATAGCTCCCAACGTCTTTAAGATGGGAGACTCAGCTTATGTCTCGGGTGAGAATTTATACTTTCTCTCAGTTGACAGTGTAAAGGGATGGTTCTAAACTGGTGGGTCGGGACCTGAACGTGGGCCGTGAAGCAGTTAGTGGGTCAGTGGGTCAAGGATGTGTGCCAGGGGGAAGAAGGTTTAGCTTGAAGTCTACGCTGTGCTTAGCGTTGCAGGGTAGTTTATTCACACTGCTACACAGTAGGTGGTGGTAGAGGACCTTATCACTGGTTACAGTAAACAAAGAGTGCTGCCAGTTTAGCACAGACGGGCTGTTTTCATAATCCCCTACTACAGTCTATTGTCACACATAGTCTGACCTCCAGCCGCTGGTTATTCTGCAGTAGTAGTCCCGGTTTAGCTGGTTTCCGGTGTTGGAGTGAGGAAGTAAACAACAGCCCAGCTGACATTAAATTTGAGTGGTTGGTGGGACGCCTAGCGGTGTACACCATGTACGGAGGCTATAGTCCTCCAAGTGGGCAGCCCTGGTTCAAGCTGGACATGAATCTCCTTTCCTTCACGTCCTCCCCACACTCTCTCTTTCTCTCTCTCTTTTGCCCTGTCCTAAAGTCTAAAACCTTGTGGGTGATGATGAATCATTAGAGAGGTGATGGTGGATCCATCAGGTGACGAGTCTTCATCACTACAGACTACTAGATCCTTCCAGGGACGATGATGAAGATGATGATGATGATGATGATGATGGTGGTGGTGGTGATGATAATGAAGATGATGATGATGGTGATGATGGTGATGATGGTGATGATGATGATGATGATGGTGATGATGATGATGATGATGATGATGGTGATGATGGTGATGATGGTGATGATGATGATGATGATGGTGATGATGATGATGATGATGATGATGATGGTGATGATGGTGATGATGGTGATGATAACGATGTATCTTGTTGTGTCTGTCTCTCAGGTGACATTCTGGTGATGGATGAATATGGCTACATTGTATTTAAAGACCGAAGTGGCGACACGTTTCGTTGGCGAGGGGAGAACGTCTCCACCACTGAGGTGGAGGGAGTTGTCAGCGGCCTGTTGGGACACGCTGACGTGGCGGTTTACGGAGTTTCTGTACCAGGTAAAGTTAAAAAAGCCACATGGACGGGGCGCTGGTGGCACAATGGTTAGTGTGCGCCCCATGTATGGAGACTGGTCTTCCAAGCAGGCGGCCCAGGTTCAAATCCCGCCTGTGGCTCCTTTCCCGCATGTCATTCCCTACTCTCTCTCTCTCCCTGATTTCCAGCTGTATCCACTGTCCTATCTCTCAATTAAAAGAACAAAAAGCCCAAAAATAAATCTTAAAAAAAGCAAAAAAAGCCCAATGGACGGAATACAACACTAAACCTTGAGGTATAAATCCATTGACAACACTGGTTTTGTTGCGTTTGTCTTAACCTGTGTTCGTGTCTGCAGGTGTGGAGGGTAAGGCTGGTATGGCAGCAGTCGCTCACACAGGAGGTCAGTTTGACCCCGAAGTGTTCCTTACGGCCGTACAGAAATCACTGCCTTCCTACGCACGCCCCGTCTTCCTCAGACTCATGCCGTCTGTTGACACGACAGGTGAGAAGCTGATTCAAGGACATCTAAAAATCTCAAAACAGACACACTTGAACTTTCTGTTTTGTGCTCAGGTACCTTCAAAATCCAGAAGACGCGGCTGCAGAGGGAAGGATTCAAGCCGGGAGAGTCGGGGGACAAGATGTACTTTCTAAACAGCCGAGCTGGTCGTTACGAGGCCGTGACTGATGAACTCTATAACGACGTCATGGAGGGTAGAGTGCGTCTGTAGCCGTGTTCAGAACGCCGTTTCAAGCCTTTATATTTACGCCCCTGTGATGTTTGTCTTTCATATTGAATGTTGAATTGAATTGAACAGCGCTGTGTGTGTGTGTGTGTGTGTGTGTGTGTGGTGTGTTGTGGGTGTTGTGTGTGTGTGTTGTGTGTGTGTGTGTGTGTGTGTGTGTGGTGTGTGTGTGTGTGTGTGTGTGGAGCCCTGCTGTGCCGTAGTCCAATGTGACCTCAGACTGGGATGCCAATATTACGCCATCACAGAATTAATATGAATGTACAAAGACATGATGACAGCCGGCTGATGAGATGTTGACCTTACTGAGTATATTTGATATTTTATTAGATTTTTTAAAGAACAATGAAATAAATCAAAGATCTTTCTCTAGAGATCAGAAACACAAACGTGTAAATATGATGTTGTCACTGTTTCCTATGTTTCATTCTTACAAAGCGTTTATAACCTAATAAAAAAAAACTGTTTAACAGTCAAAGCACCTGAAGGTATGAAAGTGACTGACATCACTTCCTCTCTAAAGATCAACAGACGAGGAGAAGGAAAGACTCAATTTGTAGTTTGGTTTTTATTTCTGGAAGGACAAACAGGTTTCAATTTCAAATTGATTCTGGTCGTCCATTAAAAAAACAAAATGTCTGATCAAAAGTCAGGAAACATCTCAAAGACAACACACACACCATCTGCTGAGCTAACACACCTTTATACCCTGTTGGCTGTGCAGATGTGGTCTGCTTGTGTTTGCTAAATCAAAGGTCAAAGAATCAGCAGATTGATTTCAGTTGGTTCTGAAAGGGACATCAGAGTGTGCTCCAAATGTCACGGCCGTTCATCCATCGATTGAGACTTTTTATTCAGAGCCACAGATGTGGACGCCATGGCGCCAGAAGAAACGTTTAAAGTCACCTTTGTTTGACCTTTAATGTCTTTATGTCTTTATGTCGAGTTGTCAGTCTGGAGAGCTGCTGCTCCTACAAAATAAAAGACAAAAACAGCTGGTGTTGTGTTTCTTTATAAGAGCAGAGATCCTAACTCTGAGGATGATCAGGATGAGTCTGTGATTGGACGATTTGAAGGGCTTTGTTCAGAGAGACATGGTAGGTGACCCTGAACCTGGGGGGGCTGCTCTCTTTCTTCTCGTCAGATCTCTGAACCTCCTTCATTTTCACCTGCTTCCCCTTCATGCTGCGTCTCTGAGCTTTAGTTTTCATCTCCTCTCTCACAGAACAAACTGCTGAGTGTTGACGTCTGCACTCAGGCTTCGTGTCGTTGTCGTATGCCGATGATACACCGTTATATCTTCGCTCAGGGTAAGATTCACTTGTGATCTCCTCAGTGTCTTCCACAGTGACGTGATCTGACTGACTCTCAAAGTAAGGGTACACCTTCTCAGTGAAGCGGTGTCGAAACATGAACAGACGCGTGTCAGTATCAGCATTTCTGAAATCCAGAGTCCCCTCCTCCCAGTCCAGCCTCACACGGACCCTGCTCAGGTGGACTGTGTCATCCAGATTCAGGTCTTGAGAGGGAGAGGTCAGAGCTCTGTACTTTTTGTCTCGCAGGCTGATACACCAGGGTCCTGCCTCAGGACAGACCTCTGACTTTGTCTCCCTGGAGACTGATTCAGCTGCCACTCCCACGGTCCACCTCGTGGCGTCACCAACCTGTCAAAGTCAAAGGACAGAAGATAAGAGACGACAAAACGGGTAACATATGACACTAATCCAAGGAATAACAAGCTGACAATGGAGTCTTGCTACAGCATCCTGAGGATTTGATGGCTGTCCCAATGAGTGAACGTGTCTCTGATTGTAAAAGTACACATGCAGGTTTACTACCTGGATGTCCCAGCAGGTCTCTCCTGAGCCCTCTCTGCTTAGTGTGCAGGAATACGAGTGTAAACTTTCCGGATTATCAGAAACACAGAGACCCCCTCCCGGCCCCTGTGAAGGTCCAGGTGTGACCCTGTTTAACCTGGGAGATACCCTCAGAGAGGGGCCAGCTGCCCTGGGGTCAAATGTCACCGGGGCTGGGAGAAGAGGGTGAGAGGGAGTGAAACAGGAAGTAAAGAGAGACAAAAACAGGACGTGCACATGCAGGGGAACATTGACTGACTGTACGCGGCGATGCCTTTCAGTTTCTCCCACACAGAGTGCTGCAGGTTTCCCAGGTGTGAGGACACATCTATTAGAGGTGTGCACACCTGTGGGGACTCCAAGCTACCTGAACAAGCACTGAGTAAGAAACAAATGTAAAGAGTTAGACGCATGAACTTGTGTCTACTTTGATAAATAGATGAAAGAAATCTGCAGAAGTCTTACCTGCTCATCACGTCGTCTCCGTAGTTCTGCAAAGAAGAGTTTTTGTTGTTACATAAATGAACGTGAACAAAATGATTCTACATGAATGAAGTTACCTGTAGATATTTCACCCCGTCTCCGTCGGCATGCAGTTCCTCTTCCATCAGCTGGATCTTCTCCTCCACAGATTTGATCAGCTGAGTCATCGTGTCTCTCCGCTCGTCTGCGTCTCTTTTCTTCTCCTCCTGCTCATCTCTGAGCGAGCGTAACCTCACTGCTTCCTCCTCTCTCAGAAACCGGTGAAGGAGCTCAAACTCTCTCCCCATCAGCTCCTCTGTGAGTTTGACCTCTGCCTGCAGACGACCGCACACCGAGAGAAAGAAGTGAAACGTGACATACAGGAAAGAACAAAGTTATGATCTGATGGAACTTTACTTTGAAAGTCACCGTTTTTACCTGGTTGTGTTTTGCCGCATGCTCACAGGTCTGTGAGGCTTTTTCAAACTGAACCATCTTTTTCTGCAGCCCGTTTAAAGATGATCTTAGCTCCTCCTGGTGGACGAAAGGACCTGATGTGAGTCGTATTCATGAGTCCTACACCGACCAGCAGAACTTCAGGGATATACATCTGAAGTTATTTTTGTGAGATGAAGGTCAGGGGTCACATGTATTTGTGACCTGATGAAATGAAGTAGCAGCTTAGTTCTCATCGTGGTGGCGGTTTTTTAAGTGGCTCTGAATTCAGCCAGTAGAAACTCATCTTGGATTAACAGAAGGTAGCATCTGTTAGGGCTGGAAGATTAATATTTACAGAGGTGAAGAGACGGTCCTGCAGCTCGATGCTGAGATGCTTTCAGTAGATGAAAAAGAAAACGTCTTTCTCAAAGTGGAGACAGGATGAATGTGACACTTATCAAAGAATCTTTGAGTAGCTGTTGGTCCAACGTCACAGTTTAAAATAACTCAATGTTTGCACGTTAACTCCTTCAAACAGTCGGACTTATAAAAATACATTAATCAACAAACTTTCAGGACATCGTTAGTCATTCAAATGACAGCATGCAGGAGTTTATGCAAATATTTATGGACTCTTTAAGCACCAGATTTTAAAAATATATAAGTGGTTACAATTAGTCCCGCCTCTGCCAATCATAGTTTAGAATTTTGGAGTGGCACCTTGGGTGGCCAATCAGATTTCAAGGGGGGAACACGGCACCTCGTATCTTACATTTTGACTTGTGACTCATACCTTACAGTCTGACTTGTGACTCGTACCTTACAGTCTGACTTGTGACTCGTACTTACATTCTGACTTGTGACTTGTACCTTACAGTCTGACTTGTGACTCGTACTTACATTCTGACTTGTGACTTGTACTTACAGTCTGACTTGTGACTTGTACTTACATTCTGACTTGTGACTCGTACCTTACATTCTGACTTGTGACTTGTACCTTACATTCGAACACTGCACCTCGTATCTTACATTTTGACTTGTGACCTGTACCTTACATTCTGACTTGTGACCCGTACCTTACATTCTGACTTGTGACCCGTACCTTACATTCTGACTTGTGACCCGTACCTTACATTCTGACTTGTGGCTCGTACCCTACATTCTGACTTGTGACTCGTACCTTACATTCTGACTTGTGACCCGTACCTTACATTCTGACTTGTGACCTGTACCTTACATTCTGACTTGTGGCTCGTACCTACATTCTGACTTGTGGCTCGTACCTTACATTCTGACTTGTGACCCGTACCTTACATTCTGACTTGTGACCCGTACCTTACATTCTGACTTGTGACTCGTACCTTAAATTCTGACTTGTGGCTCCTACCCTACATTCTGACTTGTGACCTGTACCTTACATTCTGACTTGTGACTCATACCTTACATTCTGACTTGTGACTCGTACCCTACATTCTGACTTGTGACCTGTACCTTACATTCTGACTTGTGACCTGTACCTTACATTCTGACTTGTGACCTGTACCTTACATTCTGACTTGTGACTCATACCTTACATTCTGACTTGTGACTCGTACCCTACATTCTGACTTGTGACCTGTACCTTACATTCTGACTTGTGACCTGTACCTTACATTCTGACTTGTGACCTGTACCTTACATTCTGACTTGTGACTCGTACCTTACATTCTGACTTGTGACTCGTACCTTACAGTCAGCTGCAGCCTCTGTCAGGAGGTAAACTCGGTGTCCTGTGTGGCACTCAGCTGCACACTGTTGACACAAAGGCTCCAGGTCATCTGACTTGTGACCTGTACCTTACATTCTGACTTGTGACTCGTACCTTACATTCTGACTTGTGACTCGTACTTACAGTCTGACTTGTGACTCGTACTTACATTCTGACTTGTGACTCGTACCTTACATTCTGACTTGTGACTTGTACCTTACATTCGAACACTGCACCTCGTATCTTACATTTTGACTTGTGACCTGTACCTACATTCTGACTTGTGACCCGTACCTTACATTCTGACTTGTGACCCGTACCTTACATTCTGACTTGTGACCCGTACCTTACATTCTGACTTGTGGCTCGTACCCTACATTCTGACTTGTGACTCGTACCTTACATTCTGACTTGTGACTCGTACCTTACATTCTGACTTGTGACCCGTACCTTACATTCTGACTTGTGACCTGTACCTTACATTCTGACTTGTGGCTCGTACCCTACATTCTGACTTGTGGCTCGTACCTTACATTCTGACTTGTGACCCGTACCTTACATTCTGACTTGTGACCCGTACCTTACATTCTGACTTGTGACTCGTACCTTAAATTCTGACTTGTGACCCGTACCTTACATTCTGACTTGTGACTCCTACCTTACATTCTGACTTGTGACTCGTACCCTACATTCTGACTTGTGACCCGTACCTTACATTCTGACTTGTGACTCATACCTTACATTCTGACTTGTGACTCGTACCCTACATTCTGACTTGTGACCTGTACCTTACATTCTGACTTGTGACCTGTACCTTACATTCTGACTTGTGACCTGTACCTTACATTCTGACTTGTGACTCGTACCTTACATTCTGACTTGTGACTCGTACCTTACAGTCAGCTGCAGCCTCTGTCAGGAGGTAAACTCGGTGTCCTGTGTGGCACTCAGCTGCACACTGTTGACACAAAGGCTCCAGGTCATCCAAACAGAACAGGGACGGACTGTCTCCATGATCCTCACACAGCTCTGAGGAGTCCATTGACCAGGGAGAGGGGAGACCCTCATCCTCCCCCTGGAGCAAGGAGACAGGGAGGAGAACTGGGCAGCTCATGGCGGGGCGGCTGGTAGTCCGAGGGTCCAGGTTTGAAGCCGGTTTGCTGTGAGTCAGAATGAAGCAGTGAGATGGTGTGAAGCAGAGGATATAAAAAGAGAAGGAGCAGCTGTGTGTCGTTGTATCAGTGTAGTTCTGTTTATATATACAGCACAGAATATCTGCTTACACTGTCCTCCTCCACCTGAAGACTGAGCCAACCTGACAGAACCTCCACCAGGCGGAGCCGTACTTCACTCCCAAGTGTCTGGGACACTCATAACACTGAGATTTATAGTTTCTTCTCTCAGCCCGAAGCCAAATACCTGAACAGCACACACACACAACCCTAACCCCATACCTGTTATTAATAAACACCTCACTATCCCCCAATCACAGAGACACACACACTGAGGAGTGAGGCGGAGATAGGAGGAGATAGAAGGAAAGGTGAGGAGTAGTGAGGAGTAGTGAGGAGTAGTGAGGAATAGTGAGGAGCAGTGAGGAGTAGTGAGGAGTAGTGAGGAATAGTGAGGAGCAGTGAGGAGTAGTGAGGAGCAGTGAGGGGGAGTGAGGAGTAGTGAGGAGTAGTGAGGAGCAGTGAGGAGTAGTGAGGAGTAGTGAGGAGCAGTGAGGAGTAGTGAGGAGTAGTGAGGAGCAGTGAGGAGAAGTGAGGAGCAGTGAGGAGTAGTGTGGAGCAGTGAGGGTAGTGGGAGTGAGGAGTAGTGAGGAGCAGTGAGGAGCAGTGAGGAGTAGTGAGGTGTAGTGAGGAGCAGTGAGGAGTAGTGAGGTGTAGTGAGGAGCAGTGAGGAGTAGTGAGGAGTAGTGAGGAGTAATGAGTGGGAGTGAGGAGTAGTGAGGAGTAGTGAAAGCAGTAAGGAGTAGTGAGTGGGAGTGAGGAGTAGTGAGGAGTAGTGAGGTAGTGAGAAGCAGTGAGGAAGAAGTGGTAGCTGTGTAGTTGCCGACACAGGAGTAGCACATGATGTTCTGTATGCACAGAGCTTCATTAGATCCAGTTTCATGACCTTTAATGACCTGAGCTCGTCAGACATTACATCGCATCACAGATCAGCTGTGACCGACAGTCACATGTTGTTAAACCCTCACTGACAACACATCTATATCTACATTTATTTATAAACCAATATAAAATGTTGTTGATCAAAGAAATAAAGAATGTGTCTTCTGTGAGGGATAAACTCACCTGTGTTAAATATCCTGGTGATAGCATACCTTCAAAGCTCTCTATCACAACTGTTTACACGGGAGCTACTGTACCTGCATGACTGTGGGCAGAACTTCTGTTATCAGATCAGATGTCTGTGACTGATGAGCGGCAGGGAGCTGAGAAGCAAACATCAACATGACATGGACACCTGAGCGACAGGGACACCTGAGGGACAGGGACACCTATACGACAGGGACACCTACACGACAGGGACACCTGAGCGACTGGCCGAGACACCTGAGTGGCAGAGACACCTTAGCGGCAGAGACACCTGAGTGGCAGAGAAATTTGAATGACAGAGACATTTGAACGACAGAGACACCTGACTGGCAGGGACACCTGAGCAGCAGGGACACCTGAGTGGCAGGGACATTTGAACAGCAGAGACACCTGAGCGACTGGGACACCTGAGTGGCAGGGACATTTGAGCAGCAGAGACACCTGAGCGACAGGGACATTTGAACAGAAAAAAAAAAATATTATTATTATGAAGATAAAGACAAATACAAAAACAATATAAACACAACAGAGTACACTTCATTACAAGTACACAACACAAAGACATTTTGCCAGAGACTAGACATTATGTTACAAAAATATAATAGATTTCACAGGACATCATCATCACTGTTTCTTACAAGGTGTTCTGCCTCTTGAAACACTTATGGCATATTTAAGCTAATTTAAATGATATTCCTCTTATTTATATATTCTTTGATGAGTATCATTATAAAGCCCCTGCAGGGCTGAGCTGCACGTTCCATCCATAGACGGTAAAAATAATGGACGGGACAAGCTTTTATTTTTAGAACTCCCCCTGCTGACTGGCTGCAGTATAAGACATAAACCCCGCCTCCTCAATAAAACAGATGGGATGTGGGTCAAACTGTAAAGTTAAAATGCTCGTTACATATTTTTTTTCCAAACCTAAACTCTGCTGTGATCATTAGTTATTATCACACTACATGGTGTTCAAGTGCTCATTTTTCTGTGAAGTTTCTTTTAAATAAGTTATTTGAGGTTGAAAAACAGGATTTTACGTCATATTTGACGATGATTGACAGCCGCCGATCTTGCGTAGCTCTCTTTGTGAATAACAAAGCTACGTAGTGAAGGAAAGCCGAGACGACATTGAACTTTTCCACTCCGTGTTTGTCTCTGTTGGACTGACAGAATGAGTTGTTCTGCTGTAAACACATCTAACCAACCTGTGGGATATCTGCGTTGACTTGGTAAGTTGAAATGTTTGTTTAATGTTATTCGGGGGTAATGGGGGTAATTAGCTAGCTAGCTAACACTGAAGTAGGCTAACAGAGCTAACGTTATGGTGTCAGTAATATGTTACTGTTATGTGACGGACATTATTTATCTTTTTATTTCAGTAAAGAATCAGGGGGAATCCTGATAAACTATGCTGGCTGTGCGTCATGATGCTACAACTAAACTGTGCTCGAGATTCATATTTACGGTCTGTTAAAGTAAAATAGAATATGTCCTGATGGTCTGCATTATATAACTTTACTTTACGGTCTGTTAAAGTAAAATAGAATATGTCCTGATGGTCTGTATTATATAACTTTACTTTACGGTCTGTTAAAGTAAAATAGAATATGTCCTGATGGTCTGTATTATATAACTTTACTTTACAGTCTGTTAAAGTAAAATAGAATATGTCCTGATGGTCTGCATTATATAACTTTACTTTACAGTCTGTTAAAGTAAAATAGAATATGTCCTGATGGTCTACATTATATAACTTTACTTTACAGTCTGTTAAAGTAAAATAGAATATGTCCTGATGGTCTGCATTATATAACTTTACAGTCTGTTAAAGTAAAATAGAATATGTCCTGATGGTCTGTATTATATAACTTTACTTTACAGTCTGTTAAAGTAAAATAGAATATGTCCTGATGGTCTGTATTATATAACTTTACTTTACGGTCTGTTAAAGTAAAATAGAATATGTCCTGATGGTCTGTATTATATAACTTTACTTTACGGTCTGTTAAAGTAAAATAGAATATGTCCTGATGGTCTGTATTATATAACTTTACTTTACAGTCTGTTAAAGTAAAATAGAATATGTCCTGATGGTCTGTATTATATAACTTTACTTTACAGTCTGTTAAAGTAAAATAGAATATGTCCTGATGGTCTGTATTATATAACTTTACTTTACAGTCTGTTAAAGTAAAATAGAATATGTCCTGATGGTCTGCATTATTAATAACATTAACAGTTGGTCAAGACTTCAACACACTACAAGGAATACATTTTTTATTTTTGGGCTTTTTGTGCCTTTATTTGAGAGATAGGACAGTGGATAGCGATGGAAATCAGGGAGAGAGAGTTGGGATTGACATGCGGGAAAGGAGCCACAGGTTGGATTTGAACCTGGGCTGCCCGCGTTGAGGACTACAGCCTCTACACATGGGACGCGCACACTTACCACTGAGCCACCAGCGCCCCTACTAGGAATCAATTCAATAGTTTACAGTTAATTTGTTGTGACTTCAGTTCAGCTTATTCAGAATTTGTTCAGAAATACTCTTCTTGCTTTGCTCCATGATTATGTGATTCTTATGTTATATGATAACTTTCCTGTTATTAACACTATTTCTGTTCAACAACATTTCTATTTAAAATGCTATTTTGGTTATTTCATTATCATATTTGTCTGTTCTAACTTTTTAGTTTTAGACTTAAACTTTAACCTCTCAAATAACAAAGCAGTCTCAAATCTTTTTGAGGAATTATAGCTAAAAAAAGAATTCTACTTTGCATACAGTACATCCTCTGATAAATAAACTGAAGTACTTGGATTGCATTTCTGTGGTGTTCCTGTAGGTAACCATTATGCAGCCAGACTGAAGCAGCACGTTGTGAAGGTGGACGCCATCATCTTGTCTTTGCAGTGCTGATTCTGAAGAGCATGTCTTCACATTGTACTCAAAGGTAAAATTATCTCTCATATGATTGGACCGTTTTATTCTAACGGCTACCAGCATCAAAGTAATTTTAGTAACAATTTATATTCTTTCTTAAAATGTAAGGAAGGCTAGCAGAAGATTTTAACAGCCTCTATGGTTCTGCAAGAAGTCTAGTTAATGTTTAAATTGTTCTTCTTTCTTTTTGGGAAATCAATGCCCAAAGGAAACAGCAGTCCAGACTCTGATTCCAGCTCCGGTGAGGTTCTGCCCACAAATTGCCTGTTTGATTTGTTTAATGGGTAATTACCACACAAAACCAAATCAGTACATTGAATTTACTTTTTTTTAGCTAAATACTGAAGCTACTTCTGCATATTTCTCATGAAGCACAAGAATCCAACTGACTGCAGTTTCTGCTCACACTGCTGATATCATGTCTCACTGTTTAAGTTTCACAGTTGTACTGTGAGCAGTTAAAAATAATAAATCAACAGGAGACACTATGGTGCAGTGTGTGGTAAAATTATTACATTCATGTACGAATGAACACAATACTTTTCTGCAGGATTGTTCTCTCATTCTTTATCGGCAGCTGCAGTATCCTGTTTTAACACTTTAACTTCATCCTCCCACCTCATTATATTGGACCGCCTGCACTTGACGCTTTTGTGAATAAGAATGGTCAAAACACGTTTCACACGCACCCTTTCTGTGACACGCTGAGAGCTTGAAGCAGAACGCCTGAGTTAACAGACAAAGTTCATAATCAGCTCATGCCATCAGATATCTTTATCTGGAGCTTCTGGCTTTGCTGAACCAGCTTTCTTAAAGAAAGCCTGGATATGTTGAACTTACTTCAGATACAACAACTGACCCAAATACTGATCAATAACTTAAACAACAGCCAAATACCGCCACCTAGTGTCTAAAGTGAGTTTTGTCTAAATTAAATGTGATGAAGTGTTTGCGCTTCAGAAATAAAAGTTTCCATGGATAACAAAAACCAGTATAAACTGGTTCTGCTCATCTGTCTGTCCCTGTCCATAGGTTCACTGACTTGAAGAGAGAGGACACTTGGCTTCCATGCACGAGACACACAAGTCCCAGATTGTGTCACTCTTTCAGGTAAAGAGCTAGCTCACTTTAAAGTAATGTAAGAAGATGGAGTATTACAGACTCATACTAAGTAAGCCACAGTCCGTCTAACACTGAGTTAATGTAAACTCTATGTATATTCAAATATACAAGCTTCTGATTTCTGCCTCTCAGGTTGATCCTGCTGTTTCAGTTTTCACCTGTTAGCTCACATCCCTGGCTACTGCTGAGTCAAAGGCAAAAGTTAATTATTGTAGCTCTGTTTATGTCGTGATTATATGAGAATATTTAACATTAGTTTAATTTATCAGGCTCACCCATGTGATGCCAGTTTAAAATAATCTTCAATAGAAAGTGGCAGGAACACTAAAGCTGGTCATATTATTGGATTCATCCTGTCTTATTATATATTTTGTTTTTCCTCTTAAATAGTTATCCTGTCTTTAAAGCAAACTTTAGAACCTGAAGTTTAGCAGAACCTCAGTACAGATCTTATTTCAGGTCTGAAGCATAAACGTCACAGTAAATTCATTATACTTTACATTTAACTCCATGATTGTTTTTCTCTATTACAGAAGATGCCCTCAAATTCAGATCCATCAGCAACCCCTGACAACACGGAGGACTCGTCCCCTGAGCGTTTCCTGTCCTCTCTCGATGGAGTTCTTCTCTTCAGTTATTAACTCTTGAAATCAGCAGCACAAAATGCCAGACTGTTTGACATGTCTGTGATTGAATAAATGGAAAGGGAATCTCTTTCATATCTTGCTATGCTTATTGGCTTTAAATGTTTAATATTAAATAAGTTTGAAGGCCATTTATGTCAGACGAGACCGGCTGTGACAAGCTGAGCTCGTCTGTTAGAAGAAATTTATGTCAGTTCAAGGCCTTTTTAAATGTGAGCTGTAAACTTAACTGCGGAGACAGTCATGTCAGATTTTTTAAAAGTTTATTTAAACATTTTATGAAAAGTAATCTTCAATAAACAACCCCTGGCTTCATTAACCATGTGGAAAATAAGTAAGGGAGACCATCAGGCCCAATTGCTGGGACACTGGGAAAGTATAAAAAATAATTTAACAAAGAAATCCAAACAAAAATCAAATAAAGTAAAGAGATCCTGGATGAATTTTTGACTGTTAAAATGTGGTCGAAAAGCAAATCCAACACAACCCTCCAGCATCTGGCCTTTCAAACACAGGGCAACATCATGTTAAGAAAAATAAATTGAATATTGACCTGGATCTCTGTGTTTTATCTGAGGATGACTATGGTAGCCTTCTCACTGTTCACTGTCACAAAGCACCAGACTTTGTCCACCTTCTTCAGACGTTGATCAGCTCCTCTGGGTGATGGCAGAGAGGACTCTTCATCTGGGAGAGCTGCTGGTGTAAGGTCATTTCTACCACAGTGGATGAGCAGGGCATCTGGCACAGCTCTTAGTCCAAGCACAGGTGAAAAAAAGGAGGAGGTTCCTTCAAAATATGCAACCCCAGCCTGACCACTGGAACAGGCGTGCAGATGAAGGTTGGAATGAGTCATTTTTAGGTTCTGTTGATTGTAAAATGGAAAAGAAAACATCACCTTTCTATTTAACATTGAACTGGTGTACGACTCAGTGTGATTTTTATTTTAGAAGACTGTATTGTTAACAATAGTTTGTTTTTAAAATCCTCTTATGAAACTTCAAAAAAATCACAGGATATATAACTTTTAACAGATGATTTTAACTTACACATCACCTCTGTGGAAGATGTCAGACCAGCTGCTTTTATCTCTAAAAGCCTAAATGAAGATACAAAAAACTATTTAATTACTGTTCACTTAAATATATTAGAAAAGCAGATCACATTGCAAACTACCAGTTTCTAACAAAATACAACATATCTTACCACCTGTAGCCTACGGTCTGTGGTGTTAACCTAGCTTAAATAATAAAACACAGTGTGTTTAATTATTAGACTTTGAATACGGTGGTTGGTTGTGCTTACACATTTCTTCATAAGACTCGTAGACTGGCAGAACGCATTTGGCATAGTTGGGCTGCGTAAGTCATCAGGGCAGTACGCTAAGTGGGCGGGGCGTGTTACCAGGGCTCCTCCCTCCGGACCCTACTGCACAGACTCTGGCTCCAAATGACGTCAAAATCGCAAGATGGAAGCGCACGTAAGGGGCGTATTTTGGCTTCAAGAACGTTGAGTGGGAACAGCTACAGTGTGCGCCCACTGGTTTCATCACTATAAGCTTTAAGAAGTCCCTCAGCCAATTATTCAAACAAAAACAATTCTACTTCCGTACTTTCCACTTTATGAGGATCATTATTTTCCCAGCAACGAATGCCAGTGCTAACAGATGTTGTGTTACTGCTGAATTTATGCCATTCGCTCAAACTCCCAACAAACACGCTTCTGAGAATGTTGGTACATTTTCATTTCACATTTAATTAAATGTTTTTTGGACTTCTTTCCAGAATGCTTTTATTTCTGGGCAATGCCTTAGTATATGGTGGCTGGCTTTTTCAATTATAACAGCCAACTCATTAGACATAGGTGCTCACTATGGATGGTATAAGGCATGGACACAATCTCAGTGAGATTAATCAGTAATGGCTCATTTGTGTGATTGAGGTATTGTTATATAAATTCTGCAGGGTTAGTTTGGGCTGTGGTGGTAGGGTTAGGGTTAGGGTTGATCTTTTCAGGGGGCCCGGGGGTCCTGCGGGCACTCCTGGGCACTACATTGGTTAGCGCAGGCTCTGGTTCGCATGGCTGGAGCCTGGAGGAAAGGATCCTTTTCCCCCCCACGGGAAGCCTCGCCCACAACTCTGACGTGACGCTTACTGTAGGCCCTTCTGTTTAATATGGACTACAGCTGGATCTGCTCTTAAAGGGGAGGCCAGCACGTTACAGAGGGAAGCACAGCTGTGGCTTAATTAATCCTGGTTGGTTCAAATAGATTATATGAAAGAAACAGAATTAATCCTAAATAATGGGACATTTGAGATATTATATTGAAGGTTTCACCGCATTAAGAAGCCTCTGAGAGGAGGGTACTTAAAGGGTTTTTATGGAAACACCGAGTTCCCCTTAAAGCCTAGACTGTAAGTCTGCAGCCCGGACCTCCCCTTTAACGCTGCTCCTCCGCCATGTCTCCTCCTGAGTCGGCGCAACACAACAGCTCCAAACATCCCCCGTGTGCCTCTCCGTCCGCCGCGTCACCAGCCCGAGTCTTTCCCCCTGCCATGCCCCGGGTCACCTCGCTGCTGCCGGCCCTGCTGTTCGCCCTGCTGCCCGGTCTGAGCCAGGGCTATTTCCCCGAGGAGCGCTGGAGCCCCGAGTCTCCGCTCCTCGCTCCCCGGGTCGTCATCGCATTGATCTGCCGCAACTCTGCGCACTCTCTGCCGCTGTTCCTGGGAGCCATCGAGCGCCTGAACTACCCCAAGGACCGCATCGCGCTATGGTGAGTGTCACATTTAAATAAAGTCTGAAATAAAACCAGAGAAGAACAAGAAAGATACTGAACGTCAGGGTGTATGATGCTAAAAGTTTGACAACTATTTGATATTATTATAATTAATGTGCCGTCATTATAAAGAGGAAAACTCTGCGTGAGTCTGCGCGTGCGCACGAGTTCCGTCCAGGTGTTGAAAGTAAGACTGAGCGCGTGATAATCATCCTTATCATAACAAACCCGCGATGCATTGTGTGAAATTAAACGTCATGGCCGAAGGGCACCAGGACATCGTGGGGAGTTGTTCCCGGCTTTAGAGCACGAGGGTTGAGCCAGCAGAGTCATGGCCGAGGAAAGTTCCATTCAGTCACAGAGCTTTTCTTCCCCCCCCCTCACCCTTCCTCCATCGTTGTCTCCCCCATGTTACCCCTCCCTCCCTTCATCGTTGTCTCCCCCATGTTACCCCTCCCTCCCCCTTGTCTCCCCCATGACACTGAAACAAACCCAGTATTGTGCTGAATCTTTCCTTCATTGTGACATCTAAACTTGTGTTTACATGTCTGTTGAACTCCTCTGCTGCTGCTGGATTATCCCCCCCCCCCTCCCCAGATGCTTCTGTCCTGCAGCTCTCACTTCCTCTCCTAAATTTGGTCCTGTGCCAGTGGACCTGTTGCATAAGACATTTCGAGCTTTCCAGCAGGATTTCCACCTGACAGGTTAGATTAAACGTCTCTGCGGCCCGGAGGCCTCATGTAGGGAAATGAGGGTGATATCCTCAGACTGAGTTCTTCAATGTGTGAGATTAAAATCTAACATCAGTCCCTCCAGGAGTTAAGTCTTTGATTTAAGATGCAACAGGCACTAACCTGGAGTTAAAGCTTTCACACCTGCAGAAACCTCCTGAAGTGTTGGTGCTGAGCTGCATGTGTGAACAGATCAGGAGGATTTCAGGAGCTCCTGAAGTGATCGAGATATTTTCAGGAGTGTGAAAACACAGCAGACTGGATGTTGAGTTTTTTTCTTTGAACATTTCTCTTCCCTCAGAGAAAGAAATTCTATAAATGTTTAAAATGCAGCGTGAGAGATATGAAGCGAGGCACCTGTCGATACCTGCAGCTTTCCCTCTGACAGATGGAGCGCATGAGACACACATGCAGCCTGCCTGATGGTGTGTGTGCAGCGACATGCAGCATGAATATTATCAACCCATTAATCTTCTGTTGTCATCTCTCTGCCTGCTCTTATCCTTTCAGCCCCAAATATTTACTCTCCATAAACCTTTGATCATCCAAACTTAATTCAGACGGGGGGGGGGGGGACGTGAGAGAGCAGGAGGAACTCACATAAATGTGTGTGGACGACACTGAGGTGCTAAAGTTCCACATACAGATGTGAAACGACCTGCAGCACACCGGCCGTCACTCACGCTACATGATGGGGCTGAGACACATTCTTCCCCCCCACACACACCCACACCCACACCCACACACACACACAGATCTGTTATGATAACACAGACAGCAGGCTCCGCCCCTCCTCAGCCTCTCTGATCCCGACATGGAGAGTGTGAAACAGACAAAGAATGAATGGTAGTCATTAGACACATAACACATCAGTAGAGTCTGCTGTCCACTACGACCTTTGACCCTTTACTGAGACATGTCCACCCACATTAAAACCAGTAAATTAGGACAGTGGACAGCAGAACAGACTCAGAATTTTTATTTAATGTTTTTTTGATTGAACAGTCGTGTCCTGCAGCCCTCAGGTTTTTTTTGTTGCCTCTATAACAGAAATATAAGAATAAACTGGATAATTGAAAAGAGCGTCTAACAGCTGCTATGTCTCCCCCGGCCACAGGGTGGCGACAGATCACAACATCGATAACACCACCGCCATCCTGAGAGAGTGGCTCATCAAGGTGCAGAACGACTATCACTATGTGGAGTGGAGGCCTGATGAAGAGTCCAGGTGTGTGTGTGTGTGCATGTTTGTTTTTGTGTGTGTCTGTGTGTGTGTGCGCGTGCGTGCATGTGTGTTTTTGTGTGTGTGCGTGTGTTTTTGTGTGTCTGTGTGTGTGCATGTGTGTGTCTTTTTCTGTTTGTGTGTGTGTGTGTATCTTTTTCTGTTTGTGTGTGAGTGTCTTTGTGTGTGTGTGTGTGTGTGTGTGAGTGTCTTGTGTGTGTGTGTGTGTGTGTGTGTGTGCGCGTGTGCGTGTGCGTGTGTGTGTGTGTGTGTGTGTGTGTCTTTTTCTGTTGTGTGTGTGTGTGTGCGCGTGTGTGTGTGTGTGTGTGTGTGTGTCTTTTTCTGTTTGTGTGTGTATCTTTTTCTGTTTGTGTGTGTGTGTGACCTAATGTGTGTGTCTCTGTGTGTCTCAGTGCCTTTGAAGATGAGGTGGGGTCTAAGCACTGGAACAACCTGCGTTATGAACATGTGATGAAGCTCCGTCAGGCGGCGCTGGAGACTGCCCGTGAGGTCTGGGCCGACTACCTCCTGGTACGTTATCGCTTCAGAAGCGCCTCAGTGCACGACTATAGACTGTCTGCACGCCACCTCTACCATCTCCGTGCTCTAATGAACCTGCTGCATTATGTTTCCTGTTCTCCAGTTTTTTCTTCTCCACTCTTTAGTTCACATTGAGATTCTGTTCAACTACACGTAGCATTGATAGAAAGACAACTATTCTCATCATAGAGACGTATGGAGGACTCTGATAAACATGTAGCGTTGATAACCCTTCTCTTTGTCTGCAGGTGGCTGACTGCGACAACCTGCTCACCAATCAGGATGTGTTGTGGAAACTGATGAGAGAGAATAAAACCATTGTGGCGCCCATGCTGGAGTCTAGAGCAGCGTACTCCAACTTCTGGTGCGGCATGACGTCACAGGTACTGCAACACGTTCACACCTGTAAGAAGTCTCACAGCTGATGTCACATGCCTCATTTAAAGGTTGTGTTTCTGATCAGACTTGCAACTCACTGTCGTCTTACAGTGTTTATGTTCTCTCTCCGCAGGGTTACTACAAGCGCACGCCGGCCTACATGCCCATTCGTAAACTGGAGCGGCGTGGCTGTTTCGCCGTCCCGATGGTCCACTCCACCTACCTGTTGGACCTGCAGAAAGAGGCTTCCCGTCAGCTGGCCTTTCATCCACCACACCCAGAGTACAGCTGGGCGCTGGATGATGTCATCGTCTTTGCTTTCTCAGCTCGCATGGCCGGTGAGATGAAGGTGGCGAGAGGCATCTCGTTTCCTGCTTTTTGTTTTTCATTTGTATTTGTTTAATTTTCCTTCAAGGATTTTCAATGTATGTCTCCTCCCCCTCCTTTATCTCCTCAGACGTGCAGATGTATGTGTGCAACAAGGAAACGTACGGGTATTTCCCCGTCCCCATGCGTTCTCATGCTTCCCTTCAGGATGAGACTGAGAGCTTCCTGCACACTCAGCTTGAGATCATGGGTAAGTCTAAGAGACCCAAAAAATCTAAAACATATTGAATTGTGAGGTCAATACCCCGCCCGCTCTGGAGCACTGCTGCACTGCTTCATCTGAGTGTGTAGAATATAAAAAGTTAAAGTGCCCTTCCTCCTGGGAGGTCCTCAGACTTCTCATGTGGGCGCTTGAGCGTTCCTGAACCACATGTTGGGAACCCTGAGTGAACACTTCCTGTTTGTAACCCTCCTCTGTTACTTGACTCCCAAGTGAAGAATCCCCCGTTGGAGCCGTCCAGCTTCCTGTCTCTTCCTCCCAAGCAGCCCAACAAGATCGGCTTTGATGAGGTTCGACTCTCAGATCACATGACTGCGTTAAACACACAAATACAACAACCCAGCAGGTGTGTGTGAGCTCTGTGTGTGTGTGTGTGTGTACCCAGGTGTTCATGATCAACCTGGTGCGGAGAACTGACCGCCGTGAGCGGATGCTGAGAGCGCTGTACGAGCAGGAGCTCAGCTGTAAGGTCGTTGCTGCTGTGGATGGCAAGTACGTTTCTCCTCTTTCTCCCCCGCTGTCTGCAGCGTCCCGATTTGTGTTTCTGCTGCATGCCGCCTACATTGATGAAGGGAGGTGGTACTCTGACAGACAAGCAGTAGCAGTAGCAAGAGTAGCGGCTGCACGCTGTCGTGTAAAGACATAGCATCAGCTCGTCTCTCTCTCTTTGTTTTTAACCCGTTGTGTATTTCTCTCTCTCTCTTTCTCTCTCAGAGCTCTGAATAAGACCGATATAGAGTCTTTGGGGATCAAGATGCTGCCGGGTTACAAAGATCCTTATCATGGGCGACCTCTCACTAAGGGTGAACTGGGCTGTTTCCTGTCTCATTATAACATCTGGAAGGAGGTGAGAAATTTAGTCAAATGTCTGGGTAACGACATAGTGATGTAGAGTGTTAACGAGCATGTATGAGGTGGCTAAGAAAAGGAGACTGGCCTTGTTACTGACGTGTTTAGTAAAACAGTTTAAATACATCTTTTTGGGATTTCTCTGATTTTATGGTTTTCTGCTCTTTTAAAGGAGAAAGTGTCCCTCACAGGTGAAAGGTCAACAGTGACCGGCTCTGGTTCCTGAAGTAAAACTCCGTTAACATTACAGATAAACTTTATATATAGAGACTGAAGCATGCAACCATGACAACCAGCTACTCCAGTCCTCATGACTATAAGGAATTTGAAACAGAGAAAAAGGCAAAGACAAAGATTTTATTAGTAATTTACAAAACCTCAAAATAAAAAGTATAACAAAGATTTATACATCATGAGAAGAAGGATGTTCGGATTTCTTACTGTCAGAAAATTGAAACTGATTATTTCCCATAAACTGACTGATGTCAGGTCTCAGTGAAAACATTAAAATCCTGATAAGATTGTTTAATGTGTGTGTGTGTACATGTGCATGTGCGTTCATGTGCTTGTGCGTAGATAGTAGATCGAGGTTTGCAGACCTCCCTCGTCATTGAGGACGACCTCCGCTTCGAGGTGTTCTTCAGACGGCGTCTACAGGCGCTGCTGCAGGAGGTGACGACACACAAGCTGGACTGGGATCTCATGTGAGTGAACGTGATGTGGGAAATAGAGAGGATTATGGTCTCATTGTGATGAAATCTGTCCATCTGTCACTCTGACAGTTGTGATCAGACGCTGTGGGGGATAATGTTTGGGTGCATCATGGCTCAGAGCGGCTGCAGCTCCAGCTCAGATAATTCTCCGTCACTGAGCAGCAGCCTGCAAAGGGTTAATGAAGTTTGTTTTCTGCCGTGACCATCTCGGTGGTTTCTTTGTCCTTCACCAGTTTCCTGTAATTACATTAAAAAATGCAAAATATTGAGTTGTATCATTTACTTTATTATTACAGTCTCTGCTTACTTTTGGTCATGGTTCAACAAACGGTCTGTATGAAAAGTAGGTGGCTTGAGGGGGTTGAGAATCAAATTTGAGCGTTAGTGCATCTTAAAGAGTTACAGTGATGTGTACTTCTCTACAGCTCCCACATCCATAACAACAGGCTTGGTGTTTGTTTTCTTCCTCCTTATTATTTATCTTTTAAACTCTTCAGTGTTAAACAAACAAATGATTCATCATGTAATGGAGGTGTGGTTATAATGATTTTACTATGTGGGGCCCCGTGTGAGGTCTTTTCATGGGGCCCAGAATTCAGAGGGACGTCCTGTTTCTCTGTAAAGAACTGAGACTGTTGACCATCCTGCCGTTATGTATAAGATCAACAGATTTTCTGGACCGCTTTCAAGTCTCGCCCCTAGGTTCTGTGTGTACAGATGGAGTTCTTTGGAGCTGTCAGCACCTGTTTTCAATACAAACCCAATGTAGTTAAGCATTTTCAGCACACATCATCCTGAGCTCGTCAATGTCCCATCTCCCTCCCTCCCTGACCAATCAAAATCAAGAAACACACCATGGCATAAGAGACACTAGTGTGACTTGTCGAGTTAAAGCAAATATAAGACATACAGAACTAAAACACACCAAACGGACATTACAGAGGGAAGTGGGAATTAACTTTAGTAACCTAGCAACAATAAGGGTTGGCGAGAAGTGCTCAGAAACTGAATCTTGTGTGATGACAGAAAGAATACACCAGTAATTACAGGTGTATCTGGACTGTAAGTGTATTGCAAAGGATATTAATTGTCTGTCTTATTTGACATACAGCTACATCGGGAGGAAGCGGATGCAGGTGGACCACCCCGAGACATCTGTACCAAAAATCCACAATCTGGTGGAGGCGGATTACTCCTACTGGACTCTTGGCTACATGTTGTCATTACAGGGAGCCCAGAAACTGCTCAGAGCCCAACCTCTGACAAAGATGCTTCCTGTTGACGAGTTCCTCCCTGTCATGTACAACAAACATCCAATGTGAGTGTCTTTGTCCTTATTGTCTCTGTCCTTGTTGTCTACGTCGTCTCTATCTGTGTTGTCTCTGTCCTTGTTGTCTCTGTTGTTTCTGTCCTCATAGTCTCTGTTGTCTCTGTCCTTGGTTCTGTTGTCTCTGTCCTTGTTGCCTCTGTCCTTGTTGTCTCTGTATCAGTTTTCTCTGTCCTCGTTGTCTCTGTCTTGTTGTCTCTGTCCTCATTGTCTCTGTTGTCTCTCTCTTGTTGTCTCTGTCCTTGTTTCTGTTTCTGTCCTTTCTGTCTCTGTCCTTGTTTCTGTTGTCTCTGTCCTTTCCCTCTATGTCCTTGTTCTCTCTGTATAGGTTGTCTCTGTCTGTGTTGTCTCAGTCCTTCTTGTCTCTTTGTGTTTTGATTCTGTCTTGCGGCACTCACACACACTGATAATCTGACCTCTGCCCTCTTCAGCTCAGACTACATGGACCACTTTGAGAGACGGGACCTCCGTGCCTTCTCAGCCGAGCCACTTCTGCTGTATCCGACCCATTACACAGGAGACCTGGGCTACATCAGTGACACGGAAACCTCTGTGGTCTGGGACAACGAGACTGTCAGGACCGACTGGGACCGAGCCAAGTCGAGGAAAACCCAGGAGCAGGGGGAGCTGAGCATTGAGGCCCAGAACTCGGATGTGCTGCAGTCTGAACTGGAGAACTGGAGCGCACGAGACGAGCTGTGACCACAAGGAGCAGACACCAGGAGAATAAAGCTGTGATAGCGGGAGGAGAGGAGGTGATGGAGGGAGTCTTAACAGGAGAGTTTCTCTCTCCCTGGTTTGATCCTCCTCTGCAGAGAGGAGATTACATGTAGAGTTAACTCCTCAGCTAACAGCTAGCAGCTTGTTTTATTTATTGCATCACATTGACCCATTGACCTCAGCCTGCTCCAACAGTAGTTTCATATTAAGGTACGATTGTGTCCAGATGTACTGAAAGATGCAGCTCCAGGGAAATGAAGAGACCACTGCTGAAGTTCTTGATGGAAATAAAGTTTTTAAAATTGTATTCTATTCGGCATTTCTCCCGAATTCCAAATCAAAATCTCTCATTCAGTTTTCTTCTTGCTGAAAAGGACGACAGGTTAAGAAAACCAAAACATGCAGACTTTTTCAAACCGCTGATGATGCTAAGTGAACAAGTTCAGGTTCCTTTTTTAAGTTGATTTTTAATCCATTTTGATGAAGAGACATGACGTGTGGAGAGAGAGCGGTGGGTCAAAGGCTGAAGTGTCTGATAGACCATGAGAGCTAAACCGGCGCCGCTATTTTTTTTCCCAACAACAGAATGTTTTAACTAAGGAAGAGCTCAGAACCAAGTTTACCAACGCTTACAAATAAAGAAACCTAAACCTGAACTTCGCTTTACTTTTTACACCAAGACGTCAACCGACAGTAATGTGACCAACTGTAGGAATAAAAAGTCAAACACTGATTTATGAACTCTTCCTCCTATGTTTAAAACATTTATCTTCTGTTGTTTAAAAGTGAATAATGAGAATATTGGATTTGGAAGTTTGGAGAAATAATTAATATAATCAAACCAAAAAAGTAGAAGAACAGAAATGATAGAACTAGAAACATATTTATAAAGGAAGAATGTGTGATCTCCGCTCTCCTCCAGTGGCACACCTTCAACCCACCTCCACTCGAGTTTACATGAAGGAGTCAAGCAGTGAACAAAATTGTCCTTGGCTAGAGCTGCAATCAACTGTGGCCTGCATTGTTGTGTTAGCATGGTAATGTTAGCACTCTTTAGTTAGCTCGTAGCTTCAAATTGCATGTAAACTGACACAGAATGAGCGTGATCTAAAAACTCTTGCTAACATCCAAATAATCAGTGAGTATGTTCTTCTTCTCTCTAGTCCTTGAATAAAACAGCTTTTATACACAAGGGGAGGAGCTGGCCGTCCTGTCCATGTAAACACGGCTCTGACAACAACACAGCCAGCGGGACTCGAGCTTCTCACTCATTGTAGACAGTCATGACTCAGAGACACATTTACACAGGATATACTTGATTTCTGATGTGTAACATGCCGCACATTCTTCCTTTAAAGTGGTCTCTTCATTTGTTGGACTGATGTAAATAAAAAACGTTTAGAATCTAAAATCAAACTGGATCCTCACTTTCAACATTCAATCTGCGGAGGACCAAGATGTTCACGTCTCTTTTTTTTCTCTTCTCGGGCGGTAACGTTAAACACCTTCATGTTTTTCTGAGAGTTACCCGTGTTTTATTTAAGTCATTTCTATTTCATCCCTGCTGACCGCCAGAGGCGGTGCTTAAAGCACTGAATATTCGCAGTTCGAGTATGTATACCAACAATGTCCCCCCGCAGAAAGCTGCGTCTTCTACTTTAAGAAGACGCAGCTTCTGTTCCTTTTTTCTTCTCGCGTGCAGTTTGCATCTACTCCTAGAGCATTAGCCGAAGCTAATTGTATGGAACTTAATAAAAAAGGAAAATAAGTAGCCTGGGACCGTATTGGTCGAAGCAGCGAAGTTTTCGCCCTCCAAGGGCTGCGACAACCGTCCAACCCTCTTCAGGGAACGGTTTGTTCTGTTTGTACCTGACACCGTTAGGGTAGCCTCTCACTCCCCTCTACGGACGTAAGGTACGTGTTTCGTTTTATTAAACTTTCCTGGCAAATTAGTGGCTAAGTTTGTGTTTTCAATCCTTGACGTTGAAGGCAGCGTTGCGATTCCCGCTCCCGGTACGGTGGGTAGCCTACTTTGTTTATTCTGTAACTCTGTCAATGAAAAGAATTAAAGAAAGAGAGATAGCAGAAGCGCTGAGTGAACGGGTACATTACTTTTGTTTGTTTAATTATTGCAACCTCTGCCAGTGTAGGCGGCGTACGCGCCCTCTTCTCCCGGCTTACGGTGCCGAAATTGTTTGGTTAGCGGCAGCTAACTGGTTATAGGCTACCATTAGTTACTCTCAAGCCTCTGCTGGAGAAGGCATCGTTCGCGCCCCCTCTCCCAGTTTATGGTGTGATGCTAAATTGCCTGTAGCATCCTTGCGAGGGCTGACTGGAATTTAATGTTAAACGGAGCAGTCACTCAAACCTTTGCTGTTGTAGGCGGCGTCCGTGCCCCCTTCCCTCAGTTTACGGTTTGTTGATCTAGTTCACGGTCGCATCCGGACCGAAGCAAATCACTGTAGTGACAGCTAGTCACTCCCACATCTGCTGTGCAGGCGGCATTTTATGCCCTCTTCTCTCAGCTTACGGTAGCATCTGCCACAACGGATGAGTGTCATTATTGTACTGCCTGGGGGGTTTCTCTTCAGGCTGATGATGGCCATGACCTCTGCCCGATGTGCCTCGGTCCTGACCACCTGAAGGAGGGTCTTTCGGAAAGCCCATGCATGAACTGCAGCTACATGCCTCGAGAACTGAGAGCTGCGAGATTGTTACAGGTCTGGCCCTCAGTAGGTGAGGGTGACCTCCCTGCATCAGCCCTGTTGCCTCCAGCCCAACCTAGGCGTTCAAGACGACGGGCTGCCCCCGCAGCTGCAGCTGCCCCCTTCAAGAAGAAAGCAAAGACGGAACGTAAGCTTTCTTCCGAAGTGGATCGATTGTCAGCTGAACTGGCAGAGATGAGGTCCCTCTTCCAAGCTAGTCAGTCTAGGAACTACACTGTGCCAGACCCCCCCGGCCTGTTCGATGGCCACGTCTGGCCCATGTATCTGAAACACAAGAACATCAGTCACCTCAAACTTGGAACATGCAGAGGTGGCCATTCCACCCATGCCTGTGCTGGTCCCGGAGGATGATGTCCTCTCCCTGGCAGCTTCAGCCTCTCATTTCCATGATGATGAGGGGGACAGTGCCTCCCTAGCCTCTGAGCCAGGCTCCCATTCCTCAACTCAGAGCTCATTCAGTGAGGGTGGGGACAGCTCCATGCAGGCCACCATGCGTTTGGCCCTGGATCGCCTGCAGCTTGAAATACCTCAACAGGCTGTATCAGCTCCTGAATGCGCCTTCTTCAGGCGCAGGCGGGACTCCACCGCGTTTGCTGTTCTCCCCATAGGGGAATACCTGAGGGAGTTACATGCTTGTTGGAGAGATACTGGGGCTCACTCCTGTCTCTCAGCTGACGGTCGGGCCCTGGCTGCAATGCATGAGGGGGCAAGAGTTGGCCTTGATCGGATGCCGGCTGTAGAGCCTACCATCGCATCCCTCATTGTCTCCTTAGGAGGCACTGCGGCCAGCTGTCAGGTGCCCTCAACCCCATTGTCGGGTCACAGATGACCTTCTCACCAGGGCTTATAATGCCGGAGCTTGTACTTTTCCCACCAGCAGCTCGGATATTGGGCTGCACACGCTTCAGACCCCTGGGTGGTTGCCACCTTAACCCACGGGTACAAGCTACAGTCCTGATGGCGGCCTCCTTCCTCCGGCTGGGTCAAACACACAATCATCAGCGACCCGGCAAAAGCCCTAGCGGTGGACCAGGAGTTATCCGCCCTCCTGGCCATGGGAGCTACCTCTGGTGCTGGACGCCCTATGCCAGCCTCCCTTTGAGCCCTTGGCACGGGCAGAGCTGAAATGGGTGTCATGTAAGACTGCATTCCTACTGGCCATTATTTCAGCTAAGCGCGTCAGTGAGTTACACGCCCAGTCAATAAGCGCCTCATGCCTGAGGTGGAATCCGGACGGTTAAGGCGTCACTCTATGGCCGAACACAGAGTGAATGTTGCCACTCCCCATCCACTGGGGGTGACCCTCCTGCCGGAGTCCTCTAATTCTGCTCAATGAGGTAGATAAGCAGGATTCCTCGTGACTTTGCTGGTATAAATCATTCAGTGCTTTAAGCACCGCCTCTGGCGGTCAGCAGGGATGAAATAGAATGAAAGTTACGAATGTAACTACGGTTCTATGAATCCCGAATGACTGCCAGAGCGTTCTGTCACTCAGAATCCTTGTGATCCCGCGAGAAGATTCTGTAGGAACAAAACGCTGGATGACACCGGAAGATATAACCTCTCTCGGGTCATCCAGGAGTCACAAGTGACATTGTTGGTATACGTACTCGAACTGCGCATGCGCAAAGGGAATATTCAGTGCTTTAAGCACCGCCTCTGGCGGTCATTCGGATTCATAGAACCGTAGTTACATTCGTAACTTTAAAAATGTTTTTCTTCTCCCATGTTTTCTTTTATCTGCTGATCTAAAGGTTTCATGGTTTTAGTAAATGTCGCAGATTCAAACTTTCTTTTTTATACCATCAGAAAATGTAACATTTTTTTCTCTGTTTACAGAGAGTCTGTCTGTAACCAAAGACTGAATAAAATCGTTTTATAATGAAAGATTTTGTTGACTTGTCCTCTGGTGTGTTGAGCTCAGGACTCGTCCACACTGGGCGGGTATCTCGTGAACATGTATGCAGGATTTTTATTAGAATGAAATATAAGAATAATTTTAAAGCCTTCTGAGTTGCTGTATATTGTTTTTTATTGTAGGCTCAACATGTGAGCCGAAGGTAACAACAACATGAAGACACCTTTAGTTTAGCTTGTGGTACAATTTGATTCTTAAAACTAAACACAATCAAAAGGTCTAAATTTAAATTCTGTCTTCATGTTTGTCAAGTTCAGGTTGACTCTAAGACATCTAAGCGTCTTTACCGTCAGCCTGAACGCCTGACGGTAGAGACGTTTCCTGTTTCTGTAGCTTCACTCAAAGCTGAAACATGTGTTGCGTGTTTACTCACATCTGTTCGTGTGTGTGTGTGTGTGTGTGTGTGTGTGTGTGTGTGTGTGTGTGTGTGTGTGTGTGTGTGTGTGTGTGTGTGTGTGTGTGTGTGTGTGTGTGTGTGTGTGTGTGTGTGTGTGTGTGTGTGTGTGTGTGTGTGTGTGTGTGTGTGTGTGTGTGTGTGTGTCTTCATCCACATGCAGTGGCACATGTCTGTGAGAGATTCAGACTAATCCCATTAGCTCTCTCTCTCTGTCTCTCCCTCACTCTATATTTACCTCACCCCTCTCTCAGATTAACGCCGGTCTTTTCTGCGTCATGCTGAGGTTTAACTAGAACCAAGCAGAACATGCAAAGGTTTTACGAGAACCAAACAGAACCAGCTGAGGTTTTAATAGAACCAAGCAGAACATGCAAAGGTTTAACTAGAACCAAGCAGAACATGCAGAGGCTTAACTAGAACCAAGCAGAACATGCCAAGGTTTTACTAGAACCAAGCAGAACCTGCTGAGGTTTAACTAGAACCAAGCAGAACATGCCATGGTTTAACTAGAACCAAGAAGAACCACCTGAGGTTTTACTAGAACCAAGCAGAACATGCAAAGGTTTAACTAGAACCAAGCAGAACATGCCGAGGTTTAACGAGAACCAAGCAGAACATGCCAAGGTTTAACTAGAACCAAGCAGAACATGCTGAGGTTTAACTAGAACCAAGAAGAACCTGCTGAGGTTTTACTAGAACCAAGCAGAACATGCAGAGGTTTTACTAGAACCAAGCAGAACATGCAGAGGTTTTACCAACACCAAACAGAATCAGCTGAGGCTATACTTAAACCAAGCAGCACCAGCTCAGGTTTTATTAGAACCAAGCAGAACATGCTGAGGTTTAACTAGAACCAAGCAGAACATGATGATGTTTTACTTAAACCAAGCAGAACCAGCTGAAATGCATGACTTCCTTGATGCCCTGCCCCCTGGCTGTCACATCACAGAGTGATTAAAGTAAGTCAAAGATACTCTGAGAGTCTGACTGTTCGGCTGTTACAAAAGCGTTAAGCAGGATATAAGGAGGCTTCTCAACGTTCCTATTTGGTCTTTGTTTCCACCATGCAACCTACATGTCAGTGTTCTCCTTGTAATCCAATTAGTCCAGCCTACTTTCCTCTCCTGCCGTCCTCTCTAAGTAATACGATTGTAACTTCTGAGCTGCAGTTAAAGTGCCCACGCTCGCTCTTATGCACACACAGGAGGAGCAAAAGGCGGGAAAGAAGCAAACCGACTCCAATGGCTTGAGGAAGAGCAGAACCTGGATTTATTTATTTTCCTTTGAGGAGTCGAGGAGCTTCAAGGTGAGGTAAATAATTGGACTGCAGCTGCCACAAAGATTGAAGTCCTTTTAAATTGGCCACCACCAAAACAAGGCGGTGTTAGAGACACACATCAGGAGCAATCGATCGCCTTCAAAAAGGAACCAAACTGTTGTGAAAAACATTTTCCAAATGACAGATTTAAGCTCTGACCTTCACCCTGAGTCTCCCTCTCAATCCTCTTTTTTTTTTACAGCTAAGTTGTGCTGCAGCTCAATTTCAGACATTTTTCTTCTTTGGTCGTGGAAGTTTCAGCTCGGACTTTTAGTCTCAGATGGATCTGGACGAGCTCAGAGCCACAGAGCCAAATCTCATTTGTGGGGTTATCACTGTGGATTCTGAGCCTGCAGCGCCTGACGGAGACATAGAGGCTGGTGGACTCAGATAAAGTGCTGAGCTGTGAGGCCTCAGCTTTATATCCTGTGTTTCTTTACTCACAGTAACAGGTTTGCTCTCATGAATGTCTGATTTATGTGATCAGCTGATCTTGTAGCTGCAGCCTGGTGTATTCAAATGATTTATCAATATTTGTATTAAATATTATATATTATTATTAACCCTCGTAGATGAGACTTCAACTCTTAAAGAGAGCGTCCACCCAAAAGGTTTCCTGTTGTAAATATTGAGGTCATCAATGAGCTTGACCTTTAACCACTTTATTCAGTGTCGTCTTCTGAAGCTATGAATACATGATACACTTGACTTCTGCAGGTTAATCAGTTCCATGTACGAGGGTCCCACGTTTGTAAAATAATATAATAAAATTAATTAACCGTGTTTTTCTCGACTCTTTTTATGAGAACATGTGGTTAATACAGATTAAACAACAGTTCCAAACAAGCAATCTGATAGGACAAGAGGCATTCCTTGAGCGACGATATAAGAGAACATCATCACTGGGACGTTTCACATGATGTATCCGTTCTCCTCCTCAGCATGCAGGAGCTCTGAATACTTAAAAGAACATTTACAGCTGACTGAGTTTTCTATATTCATCATCTCAAACCTCAGAATCAAACAACAGACTCTAATTTCACTGCTTTCATGATCACAGTCATACAACATACAAGCAAAGGTTCATATAACAGGAACCGCTCTGCGGTAACCATGGACACCAACAGAGGAGCCGCTCTGTGGTAACCATGGACACCAACGAAGGAGTTTCCTCTGTGGTAACCATGGACACCAACAGAGGAGCTCCTCTGTGGTAACCATGGACACCGACAGAGAAGCCGCTCTGTGGTGACCATGGACACAGACAGAGGAGCTGCTCTGTGGTAACCATGGATACCGACAGAGGAGCCCCTCTGTGTTCACCATGGATACCGACAGAGGAGCCCCTCTGTGTTCACCATGGACACAGAGGGGCTGCTCTGTGGTAACCATGGATACCGACAGAGGAGCCCCTCTGTGTTCACCATGGACACAGACAGAGGAGCCCCTCTGTGGTAACCATGGACACAGACAGAGGAGCCCCTCTGTGGTAACCATGGATACCACCAGAGGAGCCTGCTGACCCTTAATGGTCTATGGGGAGACCTTGTCCTTGTGATCATTAAGGGTCAGCAGATGGAGACCATGCACACCAATCAGTAGAGGAAATTGAAGGCTTTTAAAAAACTTTTTTACCTTTGGGCGGCAGTAGCTCAGTCCATAGGGACTTGGGTTGGGAACCGGAGGGTCCAGATGCGGACCACAATATGGAAGTTGATCTGTTAGCTGGAGAGGAGCCAGGGCAATTCCTGAGCACTGCCGAGGTGCCCTTGAGCAAGGCACCAAACCCCCACCTGCTCTGGTGAGCTCTCTGCTTAGCAGCCTCATTCTGACATCTCTCCACTGATGCATGTCCTCAAGTCCTGTTTGTGAATGTGTGTGAGAAGCATGTCTCTAAAATAAAAGAGTGTAAAACTGAATTTCCATCAGGGAATTAATGAAGTATAAAATAAATAACAATGTTACCCTAAAACTACATGTCATTAAAATTGAACTTTGCTGCTTTGTCTACTATCTTGGATTCCTGCAGCGTCTTTTTTACTTCCCGTTCGCCCCCCTGACAGAACTTTATAATCCTAACCCCCCCTGACCCTCTGTGAGGGACGTCTGTTAATCAGATACTCAGTGCATGTGTGATTTGTCATGTGGGCGTTCACACTGGATCAGTCATAATCTTTCTGTTCCTCCACAGAGCGCTGCTTCTTCATCATGGTGGACCTGTTCTTAGACCGAGTCCTGGTAAAGAACAACTGGGACCAGGATCAGCTCAACACAGAGCGGGAGATCACGGGGATCCTTGAAAACCGCATCCTCATGCTGTTCTTTGCGTGTGCTGAGTGCAAAAAGTGCCAGGACTTCCTGCCTGTTCTCAATGACTTTTTTAAGAGGCTGAAAGATCCGGCGTTCATCGAATACCCTAAACTGCTGGCACTGATCTACGTCAGGTCTCCACCTCTGCTTCTTCTTTATCTCTTTGATTCACTCATGACATTGAATAGTCATAACATCTCCATCTCCTCTCTCCAGTTTGGACCAATCAGAGGAGCAGCAGGACAGATTCCTGAAGGAGCTCAACAAGAGGATTCTATTTGTGGCCTTCGAGGACCCGTACAGAAAGTAGGTAGAAAGAGAGTCTTTCTCAGCTTCATGAGGATGTTAAAGATGTCTTTATGTCTTTATTACAAATAAGTGCGTTGTTGTATGTTTGTGTGTTCTGGTCTTCAGAGAGCTGCAGGCCATGTTCAAGGTGACCGATGTACCGACAGTTATGGTCCTTCGTCCTGACGGCTCCGTCCTCTCTCCAAACGCTGTGCAGGACATCTGTCGATACGGTTTAGACTGCTTCAAGGACTGGCAGGAATCGGCAGAGCTCATCGAGAGGAGCTTCATGCTCAACGAGGAGTACGACAACCTGAATCTGCGCAGTGCCACGGATCCTGTGAGGAGGCTCAAATACAAGACAGAAGACAACAAGAGGAAGAAGAGGTGGTGGAAAGTGTGGGAGAGGGGGAAAGAAGGGTATGAAGAGGA